ATTATATTATATTATTTTACATCTACAACATCACAATTATTTTTCAGTATTTATTTTTTGCTGGTTTTTACTGATAAAAATGACCAACGTTGCGTTGAATAATACATGTAGGGAAACGTTCCACAAATATAGTAAATAACACGTCTGTCTTCGTGAAAACGAGTGAATTCGTATGATAAACTTTGTATTATTAATGAAAATAGATTTAATAAATTAACAAACATTAAGCGATGCCTATAAGTTGAAAATTAGTTTTACTGAGTAATTTCTCGGAAGAGAAGTATCGCTGTCTTTGAAGAAAGGCTTGGAAATCCTAGCAGATTTGAATGAGCCGACCAAGCCAGAACCACTCGGCTAGAAGAGCAGCAGTAATGGCAATTTTAAGGGACACTGGAAAGCATTCCAACATAATCGCAAATATCATCTGATAACAAAAATGAAGAAGAACTTTACAAATAAAATTTCTGATTTTGATACTTTGAATTGAATAAAAAAATTATGTACTGTAAATAAAAACATTTAAGCATAAAAAATGATTTTTCATTTATTTTTTATTTATTTATAGGAAAAAATAATAGAATTTCGTACCATAAAAAATGAAAATTCGTAAAATTTAAATTTTTGTGAATTTTTTTGATTTTCAAAATTTCTCCATTAAAATTTGTGCAAAATTTTGTTTTATTTCGCGTAAAAAAGCAATTCAAAATTCAAAAATTAAATTTTAAATAAATATAATAAAATAAAAACAGAAACAATCATTAAAAAATACTAAAAAATATTGATGAAACGATACAAATTAATAAAAATGAACGATAATAATGATAAATTTTAGTTGCTTAATAAATGAAATATATTTGTTCAGCAGTTTATCGATGCGTTCATGGATTTTTACGTTCCATTTTATTTTATTTTCTAAGTTTTCTGATAAGTTTTCAGCAATTTTTTCTCTGATAACTATACCATTATCAATATATTTCGAATGATCGCTAAGTCCATTCAGCGTTTTAAATTATGCACTGCCTGTGAAAATGAGAAGGCCAGAGGAAAGAAGCACGAGTAGGTCGCCAGCGCCATCCGAGCTTTTTCATGAGAAGTTCGCTCCTGTCCGAGGTAGGTTTGTGTCTATCCGAATCGATAACCACTCTTCCCTCTCTTATTTAAAATGCCATTTTCTTCAGTTGGCCCTAAGTCTTTTGACTTACGATACTGTCGCACGTATAGCTATCACTTTTTAAATCGCCCTTCTCCATCCACATGTCAGCCAGGCAAAGTCAGCAGATTTTATATTTTTACTGTTGATGCCACCAAATATTTTTCGGAAATATCACACTCGGGCTGCAGAAAATTTCAGGTAGAGCCGCGGTCACGGTTTTTCCCACATTTGTTGTACCCAACAAAATTTGAACTTTTGCAACTCGTTTCCGGTTTCCTATTCTGAATGGCGGGGCTAAGTGAAGGGTGGGGAAGGTTTGCGGGTTTTTTTCCATTCATTACTGTGATTATTTAACACTTTTATTTAAGAACGTAATTTAGTGAATAAAATAAATAAATAAATAGTTTGAAATTAATTAATCTTACAAGTTCTATTTTATTTTTGAAATTTTGTCATCGAAAAAATTTATCATTCACTGAGAAAAAATTTTGGAAAAGAAATGACTGAAATATTGAATTTATCGAAATTACCCAAATTACTCCAATTTTATCGAATAGTCGTTGAAATTTGGTTGATTTTTTTTCACGAATTAAATTTTAATTTTTTTTATTAGCGAATTCTTATTGAGAAGTTTCATATTAAAATTTAATCATTTTCTTGATTGAACATTTCCAGGGAAAGAAGAAAAAAGAAAAGAGGGAGAAAGAGGAAAAATGCCGAAAAAGAAAACGGGCGCTCGAAAAAAGGCTGAAAAGCAGCGTGAAATTCAAAAAAAAATCCGTGCAAATGTGCAGAAAGAACTCGCTTTACATCCATGCAACTTATTGATGGTATTTTTTAAATCATTTTATTTCAAATGATATTAAATAATATATACAATAATAATAATAATCGGATAATAATGATAATAATAATAATGCACGGTTGTAATCGTTTTATTTTTCTCAGTGTTGCACCACTGAAGAATTTACAACCAAAATGATAAAAGCTGTCATTTTTTATTGCAAAGTTTAAGAGTAATAAAATGTCGAATTAAGATTTTTCGAAGTAATTTGAAATTTTGAACAATTCTTCCATTGTTTTTTGCGGACTGGATAAATAGATTAAACAGATCCTTTTTTTCCATCTTGGAATCATTCCTATTTTTGATTTTTAAAATTTTCCACCTTCGATTTCTTTTTAATATCTCGAATAATTTAAGAAAAATTTTATCTATTTAAAAATATGCTTAAAATGAAAAAAAATCTTAATTTGGTTGTTCAATCATTCGAATTTTATATTTTTATATTTTATATATTTTATATATATTTTATATTTTATAATGTTATTCCATAATCAATTTGTTTCAAATTTGGCTTAGCACTGCGATCAGTGCGAGCACGATCAAAAGTCTCGAGCATTTTGTTATTTTTGTGGTGCTGTTAACAAATCGCCAATTTGTTGCGCTTGTGGCAAACAAAAATGTATGATGAGAAGTGGTGATTGTGTGGTCAAACACGGTGGAAAACATACGACAGGTATCCATCTAAGAATTTGTAAAAAAAATTTGGTATTTGAATGATAGTGCGGTTTAGTTTTCACCTGGAAGCAGTACCATTACGATGAGATCTTTCGAAAATTGCTCACGGATTACAAGTGAATTCTCAACATCACCCCGTTTTCAATTTTTATGATAAATTTATTCCATAATATGTAATGTGGACCACAATTAGTTACATTATTTATGGGGCATGATGATTGCTTCAGTGAATGCATTTCTGAAAAACAAAAACATTTAGTGGTATAAAAAAATTTTTTTAACTGTATAAAATTTATAAATATTCCTTGTTCCTTAGTACAAAATTAGCACTTCTTCACTTTAAGCGTTATATATTTAAAATCAACCAATGTTGAAATTTCTTACTAGATTTGAATATAGCTTATGCACTAGCTATCTTGAAAAAAAGATTAGATAATATCATAGATGATATTATTTAAAAAGTTCGCATCATGCAGGAGAGGTGAAATTTCGATTTTTACCATCCGGTTATGGCTGTTTCGAATCGTACTATATTATATTATTTTGCAATATTCTCTTTATTTCCTCTTTTTTTATCATTAATTCTTATTATTTGTTATTTTAACTGTTATTAATATAAGCACATGGCGTTTGTCACCCTATTTGGCTTATTTTTAATAAATAAATAAATTAAGTAAATAAATATGGATGAATATATACTGTTCATGGTTCATAATATTTTTTTAGGCATGCAAATGGTCGGTGCAATTTGTGATTTTTGTGAAGCATTTATATGTCATGGTATGAATTGCTTAACTACGCATGCATGTTCATGTCCTCTTCGCGATGCTGAATGTATTGAATGCAAACGAGGTGTTTGGGATCATGGTGAGAATTTTTCATATTTTATTTTAGTCCTTCTAAATATTTTTGGTATAAGTTTTATTTAATTAATTCTACGAAAAAATTTTTATTATTTTAAGAGAATTTTGGTCAGTTGGTTTCTTCAACTCTTTATACTTTTTATAGTTTTTAGGAGGTCGAATATATCGATGTTCATTTTGTAATGTGTTTTTATGCGAGGATGATCAATTTGAGCATCAGGCAAGTTGCCAGCAACTCGACAGTGAAAATTATAAATGTGATTTTTTAAAATTTTTCAGTGAATTAAAATTGAATGACGATTTTTTTCGGCTTTATGTAATTTGTATATATTAAAAATTTTAGGTATTTCTTGTAATCGGCTTGGACAGTACACGTGTATGCGATGTAAGATTTGCTTTTGCGATGATCATGTAAAAAGGAAAGGCGTAAAATACGATAAAAATGTAAGGGAAATACCATGTCCAAAATGCGGTTATGCAACAAGTGAAACAAAAGATTTCAGCGTTTCCGGTAAATATAATTTAAGCTTCTCGATAAGTTTCATTATTTTGTTTTAATATAAAATCTATTATTCTATTGAAAGATTTTCTTAATTATCCTGAAAAAGAAATTTTTCAGTTCGTCGACATACTTTTGGTCGTCAAATGTTGGCTGATTATGATGATTCGTGAGTTTATCATTTCATTTTCTTTTTTACTAAACAATATAATAATTCTATATAATTCTATGAGAAATAATTTTTCAATCAATAACTAGGATATCAGTCAATAAAATTTCTTATTTATATTCATTTATATTAATAATTTATATTAATAATAGCTTTATATTAATAGCTTTCAGTAATCTTTTTCTAAATTTTCCTAATCAAATTTGTTTTAGTGAAGATAGCGGCGATGATGATAATAGTTATTGTTCACCAACTGACGAAGAAAGTTCTTGTGATGAACCTACTACCAGTTAATAGCTATTAATAATTTAACGGTGATGTATTTAATTTTTTATAGTTTTTTATTATTGGGATCATTTTATTATATTATTATTTAAATAATGCAACAAAGTCGAAAGTTCTAATTTAAGATATTCGCTTTTTATTTCTATTTTATTTATTTTCTATTTTGGGTGCCATAAAAATGAGGATTGAAAAGTTTTTTTCAACCAGTTTCTTTCAAAATTGTGGGTTCATCGATTTTGGAGTTTCAAAACTTATTAAAATTTTTTTTAGCGTCATTTATTTTCATACAATATTTATTTATATTTATTTTCATACAATATACATAAATACGATGCACATAAATTTTACGGCAAAATTTTACGAATGAATTCTTCATTGTAGATGATTTGATTATGGGTGTGAAGTAGTTCAAATTAGTCGCTTATATTCCATATTCAATCCGCATTATTCGCAGTCCGAAATCCATAGATAATTAATCAAAAATAATATTTAAATTCTTCGGTTTATTAGTATTATTTAAGAGATTATGTTTTGAAGTTTCATTTATAGGATTATTATTTAAATACAATTGTTTTAAATTTAATAATTCCTTGTATAAGCGATCAGCATCAATCTCTGCAATTTAATTGGTATATTTTCCATTTTAAACATGAAATATAATTGTAAAATTAATCTAGAAAAGTTATTATATTATTAAATAATGTTACCAATATTATATATTAAACAAATTGTTTGTAAATTTTTCGTAATAAATTTATGAAAAAAAATAATCTGAATATGCATAATAATAATCTAAAAGAATACCTTTGATAGAATTATTACTAATATCTAAAAATGTTAGTTCCTTTAAACAATATAAAACGTCTGGAAATTCGTTAAAGTTATTATTAGCAATATTCAATCCCTTCAGTAAAATCCATTTGCTTATTTCGTTTGGGAGTTCTGATATTTTGTTTCCTTCAATATTAAATACTGAAATTTTTTTATTAAACTTTTTTTAAAAGTTATTTTTTAACATTCATAGATATTTAAAAGGTTTACACTCGTTATTAGTTATATAGCATTTTTGAAATTGCTAATTTTTTTTTTGGCATTTCCAATATTATTTTAGGCATTTGTGATTCATGCAAATTTCCAGTTTCTATATAACTTTTAAATTGGAAATTTCAAAATTACTAAATCATAAATAATCTCAAATTGGCACCCGCATTGATATTTTTCATTAATATATTGTTTATATTATTTTTATCATTTAGAATTACTGAAAGGCCTATAAATGGCAATAAAATTAATGCGAAGAGAATTTATTAAATTTCATAAAAGATTCATTTTCGTTGTTATTTTTATGTTATTTTTAATAATTTAAGGAAGTAAAATAACAGAAAACATACGAATCATATTATCAAATTTTTCAATCATTTTTTTCGGGAAATTTTTAAGTGAATTACTTCTTAAATTACATTTATTTATTTGGTAGCCTTTGAGTACGAGATAAATCGCATCGGCGATATACATTAAGCCGCAGTTCGATAAATCTAAAATATTTTTTATTATTCAAGTGTTTGGTTTAAATTTAAGATTCAGAAATATTTGAATATTTCATTATTACTTCGATTCTCTCTTATTGTTTCGCAGAAAATATTACCGAGGAATCCTGTTGATTTCGCCTCCTCACAACGTTGCATAACTTGCGTGACGCCTTTTCCCGCAATTTGTGTCATCGAATTATTTTCGCTCGTTTATCTTTTCATAGATAACTTTAAGAATATTTTTAAAGAAATTATTATTAATTTAAAATAATTTATAATTTAATACGAAGTCAGTTTTCAGCTTTTTTTCTTGTTTGTCGACCAAAATATCAAATAAATTGTTGTAATTTTTCGTAATAATAATAAATTCATAATAAATTTCGTATGTACGCAATAAATTCGAGGATAACAATTCAATTTACAAAAAAATATTAATAAGAATATAATTAATGCTGTGCAACGACATTTCCTCGTGTACACTTCGGTTATATGGACAGCGGAAGGTCGTATATTTCGCGTGCTCATTATATTTTCTTTTCCTCCTTTCCATTCCGGATCATCAGTCAAGAAGGATTTTCCGAAATACCACCTTGAGGCTCTATTATATCGCTCATCGCAACCGAACCATTTTCGATAAATGAGATCTCGTCGGTTCGCTCGCGGCCTACGTTGTGATGAAAAAAATCTCTTATCTTTTTAAAACCGACAATTTATTGTTTTAGAATAGAAAATTTTAAAAAATCGTAATCGTTATAGCTTAAATAAATAAAATAAAAACTAAATTAGTTTTATAATTAAATTTAAAAAATTCTAAAATGCAAAATGCAAAATAAGCGGAAAATGAAATCTTCTTTCCAGTGTAATAAAAAGTATTTTTAATTAAACAATTGTTGAATCAATAATTTCCACTAAATCTACTAAAAAATGAAAAACATTTTTCACACTTATTCGAATTTTTTGCTTCAAATTTTATTTGTTGCCTTCTGCACATATCAAAACAAATTAATGTTTCCAAATCACCTAAAGATAAACAAATAACTAATGGAACTATTCTAAAGTAGTTTTACGCCTTCGCAACCCTTAAATCTCGTTTTATGAAATGAACTCGTTTGATTATTTGGCGAAGTCTGGTGACCCTGCTTTTCGCTTTCTACGAGTTCCCTTCTTAAATATTATAAAATAAAATGCATAGGAGTTTATCAGATTTCTACTGGCGATATCGGCGATTTCTGTTCGCGACAAGGTCACCAAATGCCAACACCACTGCTATTCGTTTACATTATATTCATAATTGATAAATAAAGAAATGCCAAATTTCATTTAGAAATTCGCTAATCCATTTATGCAAATACAATTTATACAATTTAAACGATTTTTGATAAATTTTTTTAAAAAAATATAATATAAATGAAGAATAAAAATCATAAATATTGGCAGCAATCAATCAAATTATTCCTAACAACAATAATAACAAATATGAAAAATTACATGGAATTAAATATTTTTTCCAGATTGGACAAAATTTCTATGCGTTTTAATGATTTTGCATAAGATAAAGTTGCAAAAAATCTTCTAGAAAATCACAATTGATTAAAATCGAAAATTTTCGCAGATATCAGCAATCTTTGAAAGTCAATTGAAATATCCATTAATAGCAAAAACATAAAAATATTAAAGAAAGAATCAAATTTAAAAATTTGACAAACAAAAAAATTTTAGATTCCTGTTCACAGTAGGTTTATTTCTAAGAATTATTATTTAAAAAATGGAAAAGAAGTGAAACCACTGGAAAAATACACAGACAAAAGAATAAAAATAAAAATGATGTAAATTTTAAAAATGCCTTACTGCAAATCACAGCTTAAAGAAAGTAACCAAGAAAGGAAATATAAAATAACAAAATATAAAAATTAAAAAAAGAACCAATAAACTTCACAAACTTTTTATCAGATACCTTCTTTCACCAAAAAGTTGCAAAGCACTATTTTTTAACTCAGAATATGTGCTTTGTTGCATAATATGTGCTTTGGCGAAAAAATTTAAAAATAAATTGAAGTAGAATCTAGAATGTGGCAGTCTGAAGTTGAATAACAAATTTATCGAGATTTTCAGCAGTAATACACATCTGATCAAACTGTGAGCTTGAAGCGATTACTTGTGCCCCCAAGTAAGAAGCATGGTATCGCCAAGGTGAAACATGCACCTGCAAAATTTCATCAGTAATCTTTCAATTTAGTTTTTATCACATTGTAAAATCGTTTAGTTTTATCAATGGACCTAATAAATTTCAATAAAATGCAATTGAATGAAATGATGCAGGGACGCGATAAAAGGTACCAAAGTCAAGATAAGATAAATGAAATGTCTATTTACATTTTTTCGCAGTAGATCCAAATCATGAAAATCTTTTGAAACCTATTTGAGCGAACCTAATTACTGATTGATCGCTTGAAAATATTGATCGTTTCATTAAAATAAATATATTTCATATAAAATAAAATACCTGAGCATGAATTGTTGGAGCAATAAGAGAACCAATTTCAAGTTCGAGTCTCTCTGCTAAACCAGGAAGGAGAGAAACGCCACCAGCAAGATATATATTCCTGAATTAATTATGCACTTTTGACTGAAATTTTTTAAAATGAAAGAAAATAAAATCATAATCATACCGCAATAAAATTTTTCTACTGTCTATTGGAGAAGACTGTACGGCTTCATAAATATGTTCGTGTAAAGCTTTAGTATCAAGCCCCCACCGTTTCGGTTTAAAAAATCCTTCTGGAGCAGTAAATCGAGCAGAGTTCACCTTAAAAATAACTGCTACTTCGCAAAATAATACCAACTATCGTCATGAAAACAAAAGATTTTTACTACCAATATTTACCACTTACCACAATATACCATTTTTTATGAATTTTAACTGAATAGTAATTTTTAATCTATTGTAAAACATGATAATCGAGGAAATAAAAATATCGAATAAAACATTATGAAAAATCACTTTAAATGATCTATTCATATTTCCTGATGGCTTAAACTCATCCAAAGATACGACCATATCAATTTCACTCTCCTTGTCGCTGTATTCACCAATTTCTTTATCAAAATCAGTTGATATATAGCATGCCTAAATGAATGCAAAGTTTTTATTATTCGTGGCAACAAATCAAGTCAAGATAATAATAACAGACAAGGCAAGATAACAATCTTCTTTTGCAATAAAATAAAAAACAAATATTTTCTAATGAAAATTGGATTTAATAACTTGTTCCATAACATATCGTAAAATAAGTCGTTCTATGGGCGCCCTTCCCGAATACAATCCCATATTTGCTTCACAAAGTTTCTGATGAAGAGAATCTGCGATTTGACTGGCCCCGTATGGCAGAGACACAATTGCGTTATCGACAACATATCCTATAATAATGGGAACAACAAATAAAAATGGGATTCAAAAAAATGAAAATCAACAGCGGAAAAAATGAGAAACTAACTAAATTTAATTTTTTTTCGAATTTTATCTAAACAGCGACAAAAATATCAGAATTTTAAGAACCAAAAGTGACAAGGTTAAAATAAATCTTGAATTAATGTTCTTTAAACAACCAATAGTAATATTTTTAATTAATTTTATTAATTTATTGATAACTCTTCTTTAATATTTTGTAATATTTAATATTTTTTATCTTTTTCAACAAAACAATACAAATAAAATTAAAGATTGGAAAAAATACCATCAATAATGGGAACAATATTCAAACGATCTCCAATATCGACCACTACACCAGTAGTTACATCATAAGCATAGAGAACAAGGCTTGGCTGTCTGGATATTGCCGCACTCTACAATAATGTTTTAGAAAACTCGACAAAAATAATCGCTCAATAACTCACCTGGAATTGAATATCTTGAAGAGCAATTTTCAATATTTCACTTATTAAGATAGTGGGAATATTTTGCGGTATCGATAACAGCACCTGAAAATCTTTTTTTTATTTAATAATTAATAAATTTACTCAAATGAGTGTTACAAAAAAATTTTATAATAATGATTCCTTTTTAATGATTAACTTATTTTACCAACTTTATAATTTCTAGGATCAATATGAAGATCAAGAACACATTTCCGTAAACAAGCTTCTACAGCACATTTATTTATCGAATAGCGTTCTAATGATGGGCCTACTGCTTTTATAGGACGCATAAGTTCGCCATCATGTAAATTCTAAATAAAAAATTAATTAATTAAATGTCGGCAAACATTAAAGAGAGGACCTATCATAATTTTACATCCTGAATTTTTGCTCTTTAAAATTCTATAAATTTCTTTAAAACTAAAAATTAAATTAATGCGAATTTTCCCATTGAAAGGAAAAACCATTACAATAAAAGCATCTGCTCCAACAACAATCACACCATTACTTTTGATTAATGCTAGAGTTGGAAAAAAGACTTGAGGAAGAGATGGATTCATTGTTAATAAGCCAGCACGAATTGAACAAGAACCAAGCTCTATTATCACTGTTTTCTGTAAAATAATTCTTTTTTTTTAAATTAATTTTCCTGAAATATCGATTAACAAAATAAAAAACAATAATAACCTCAACGATATGGGGAAAAGGAGGATAAACTGGATTAACATAGGTATCATCGTGAATAGACGAAGTATGACTATTAATAGCTCTTCTCCATTTATCCAATAAATTTGTTGGTGGCGGTACTCTGTGATTAAAAAATCATTGTCACAAAATAAAATGAAGAAAAAAATTTCCATACAAATAAATATTGGAGAAGCAATTTACAAAAAAATGCAAAAAAATCGAACCTTTTTGAAAATTTTTTAATAAAAGTAGAAAGCATCTTTTTTACATTTTTGTATCAAATCGAATTTTTTGTATCTATTAAAATAATCGCTTATAAAAACATTACCTGATAAGAAAATTAACGTGGTCAGGTCCACCACGTATTGATATTAATCCTTCATCTTTATTCGTATCAGTTTCACATCCGGATAGTAATATTTCACCAATGGGATGATCATCAGCAAAATGTGACTAAATGTGACTAATCGTAATCGACCAATTATAAAAATTTACAAAACACAAAAAAAATGATTTATGAAAAAAATTTTAAAAAAAGAGAATAAATAAAATAAAAAAACCACTGACAGCAAACCATTGTAACCGACCATCTTTAGTACGAAAATATTTTTCTGTCCAATTTTTTTGCAATTCAGCAATAATTTTTTCGTCTTTTATTGGAACATCTAAATGTCCTTCCATATTTATAAATTTTCTATTTTTCGCTGCTTTACGAGGCTCATAACTTATCTGAAATTTATTCATTTAATTTCGTTATTTAAAACTTTTCATATGTATATATAAGAGAAATTATGCTTTTATTGCCATTTCCCTCTTATATTTCTTCCCTTTCGTTTCTCTTTAATCTCTTAGTGCTTATAAAGAATCAGAAGACGTAAACGATGCAGCAATATGGAGATTGGAAAAAGTGGTGGATTCAGTTGCTTTCAAATTGCATTGCATATCAATTCGAGTATTTTGGAAAGACAGTCGCTAGTGCAACCAGCTAAACGAGTAGTGATGATAGTCGTTAGAAGGAAAAATGGTGCATGTGATGGACAATAATAAGAGGCACTCAGTTTTGGTTCCCCATTTTTCTCAACAATAATTCATAAAAATTTATTCTCCGTGTTATGCTTAACGAATTAGAATCGTCGCTGCTCACCTAACCGAAAAGTGATAAAACTTTTCTTCATTCGAAAACAAAAAATGAAACCTCATAAAGCTTTTGTAATAAAAATTGTGGGTTCCAATGATCGAATATTTCATTATCCTTGCAATTATCAATTGAATCGTTCATATTCATAAATAAAACCGCTTTCCTTTTTCCTTTTTAAACTTCTCAGCCTTTTTTGATTCAAATTCCCCGTTTTTTGCTTTTAAATTAATAAAATTCTAATAAATATATTGGTTCACTTCGGAAAAATTTGTCGATGCTTCGCTATCGATTGCAAAATCATTTAGCAGTATTCACGAATTTTCATCGTTTTTTTATATAATTTCGATTTTTCAATTTCTTTTTTTCTTAGCGGTTCTGCGCTTTTTTATGGAACCTAAAAAAATTTTATTTGCAATTTTCAGTGACAGAAAACAAAAAACTTCAAAGAGTCTTACAAATTCAAAAAAGACTGAAACTTAAAGATTCAAAATTTTTGCAATTTTTTGTTCGACTTTTTCAAATAAAATTTATAAAAATTTATTTAAATGAAATCAATGAAATAAGGAGAATATATGAAATCCGACGAGACAAAATCCATTATCAAACAACATCAACGATAATGAGAATTATCCACCACCACCAGCAAAAATAAGGAATGAAACTTATTTCTGTGCTTCCATTCTACCTGCCGATATTGTTGCTAGTGTGTACTTTGGGAAGATACGGCCGCAGCCAATAAGACGGAAATTACGGCCACTCTATAGGTAATTCTCACGAGATGTTTACACGGTAATCCAGGCGTAATTTTTTCCATAAATAAATAACATTTGGAACAGAATTTTTCGCTTTACTTATTTTCTTTATAATCAATAATTTTTTCATCGTAAAACTTCACTTTTTCTGATCGCCATTATGGAAAACTTCTTTGCTATTAACAATAGCAATAATAAATGAATGATAAAAATGATAAGATATTAATGACAATAATAAATTATAAAAATGCAATTTATTTAAAAGGATTATGGAAAGAATAATGAATAATAATAATACTGCATATCACTATAAATCTATTATCAATATATAAAAAAAATTGGTTTATTAAACAAAAACAAAAAATCAACAAAACATTTGAAAAATTTTTAATTACAATATTATAGGAAATAAGAAAAACTATATGAATCGATAAATCAATGAACCAGGATGAAAAAAGAAATTGTAGGGTCAGAGGTCATCCAATTATTTTAAAATGATTTTAGTAACTATTGCAGAAATTCATTCAAACAGAAGCGAAAGAGAACGAAATTTTCGATAAAAAAAATGCGAAGAGGTCAAATGAGAGGTTAAAGGTCGAGTCCCAGATTTGACAGAGGCAACGAAGGTCATTTGTGTGATTATAGGAACGCTATATAGTTTTATAACCAATCAAAGAGAACTTTTCCTTAAGTAAATAATCATAGAAAGAAATATTCGATCTATAAAAGAAAGAAGAAAACCTTGACGAAGATTAAACAAATTATTTAGATTATTATAACGATAAATAAAAATAAATTTTTATATAATAAGTAAATTTAAAAAGAAATAATTCTTTGAGAAATTTATAAATATTTTCAAATATTTAAAATATGCCCTAAGAATATTTTAAAATTTTCAGAAAATAAAAGAAAGAAATAGAAAACTCGCTTAACATCTTCAAAGCTTCGTTTTACTCCTTCGTTATAAGCCAGTGTGAGGTCTTTCTGAACCCCTTAACTCCCTCAGGTCCAGCTGAAATCTTTTAACACTATCCACTCCTATTACCTCGCAGACTGCAGATTTCCATCGCCATTCTTTTAAGTTCATAAAAGCGTATAAGTAAATATAGGCAAATGACAAAGGAAGACTAAAGAAACACAAAGGAATTCGGTGAATTCGAAAAGCGATTTAGCGAATGTGGAAAGAGTACAGGTAGGGGAATTCTAAGGTGTATTGATGCAGCAGAACGAGTTTTGAAGTGAAATCGAGGAATATTGGCCATTTTTTAGATGGTTCTCCATCAGTTTGACGGGATCCAATCACTATTAAAATAAGATTTAATGAAATGTCTAAAAATTGCCACTTCATTCATATTTGTATAATTTTCCTAAATATATATACTTACACTTACAATATACACTTATACACTTATACACTTACACTTACAGAAATGTACACTTAAAAATTATTTCGATTTTAAAAAAGCCCTTAAGCAAAAACCATGAGCCAATATAGATTTTTCGCTGATATTGGTGATTATTTTGTACTTGAAATATGCATGAAGTCAAAAATATTAATGCGACTGATCAACCAGAATTTCATTAAATTTATATTATTTTTCGTTTCGAATTCGATTTTTGCAAAAGGATGGAATTTACTAAAAAGCGAAATTTATACATTAAAATAATAGTTTTTTTAAAATACCAATTCAGTTCATTTTTCTTAAACGAGATTTCACTAAACGAAGAAGGAAATTATTTTTTTTAAATTCTTAAGAGAATAAATTATTATTTGCCAAAATCATGAGATTTTTTATCGAAATATTCGTATGAATATTCATTTCATTTATATCTTTTGAAATAATTCTTACATTATTCTAAAGATTTATATTCGCAATTTACATATATTTGTTTACCTATTTTTGTTAAACCGACTGAAATGTTTTTATGAAAATTGGATTTTCATATTTTCACAAATGCCATAAATCGCTTTTTATGCAGACAAACAACCTAATAAACACATATTTCATTGCTGTAAAGGATGATAAAACTAAAAATTATATGCAAGAAGCGAATTAAATTTGATGATTCTCAAATAATATTTCAATAAAATGATCAGTTAGATTCATGCTTTCAGTGATAAGCTTAAAGAGCAGAGTTCGTGATAACGGAAATTTGATTTCCATATTTTCATCTACGACGCAAGAACTCTCGGACCAATATTCAGGCGAAGGCGCCTCATCTTAAGCAACAAGTGGAACCAACCAACCAAACGAGAAATGAAAAAGAGCATAGCTTGAAGAAAAAGAATGTGCAAATATAATTAAAAGATGAACGACTTAATATTTGAAAAATAAAAGCGATTTAAAACTCTCACACTAATACGATTTTTATTAAAAAATAATTTTTCCACAAAAAACGAATTATTTTTCGCCAAAGTATTGAGCAAATCCGCAGGCGAAACTAAAGGGAGTTTCGGAAACTAAGCTGAAGCTGGTGAGAACCACGAATAATTCCACGAAATAATAAAAATATCCTTCGCGAAAATTATTTTTATGACAGAAATTTCGTATGAATGTATGAATAAAACGAGTGGAAAGGCAAACAAATAACAAATTTTGCTTGGACAAAAGGTGATCGATGAGAATCGTTGTAATACTTTACTGACAAATGAAGAATTTATTTCGCTCGGTAAAATAACAGTTTTGTGTTCAAAACAAATTATTTGGGAAGTAATTTCTATAACAAAGATTTCTGAATTTTAGGCGAGGAAATTCTTTCTCGAAATCGATACTTGTTTTCATGAAAAATTTTTTCGCATCGAACACAGCAAAATTTTTGGAAGAAAAAAAATGAATGAAATTAAATGAATGTGAACAATCGCTGTTTAATATATTTTCCTTTGCATTCAATTACATATACGAGAAGAAAATTTTCCGAAAAAATAAGTGGAAAAATGATAAAAGAACGAACGAAAATTTTTCAACGGTTTAATTTACGCTTCAAAAGATGCTTGAAAAGTGAAAGAAGGGAACTTTTAATTTTTAATTTCCATTATCTTTTCTTTACTTTTCTAACGGCGTTAATTGATATCAAACTGACGTCAGACTGATAATGATGTCTCGTTCTTGGCTTCTCATTAAGCCTAAAGTAAAAGCCTTTTACCAGAGAATTGTTTGGGAATAGAAAGAGATAGTGAGAGGCTGACGCCGGCATCTGATCTAAGGAATACTACAATAAAACTCCCATGTTTTGAATATATTCGGCATTAACACAAAATTTTTCATTATTTTTAAATATTTAATATAAATAAAACATTATTTTTAAATTTTTCTGGCCAACTGAAAAGTTCTGTTTGTTGTTTTATTATTATTATTCTATAACAGTACTGTTATTCACAAAGGTAATCATCACCTGTGAGTGAATATTTTTAATTCTCAGTTTCGACTATAATTGTATGACTTAGGAAATAGAAGATGAAACTAGTTTCAGAGTGATTTCAAATGCTTGGAAATAAACGAAAGTTTCCAAATAGGAATCGAAAAAAACTTTTAAGTATAATTATTACACAAAGAACTGAAAAAACAGATCTGAGGAAGAAAGAATAAAAGAAAATAAAACTTTGCTAGATTTATTGAAAATATAAATTGAAAAATGTGGCCACGAAACCGACTCCAAAACAGATAATAACGATTTGAAATTTGCACAGATGAATGTTGAAGTTTTAGTGGCTCTTAGAATATAACGCAAACTTATGGAAGAAAAGGATAAAGGATAAGGGCAATTAACTAATTCACTAATCCAGAAGGAGGAAAAAAGGTTGCGGAAAACGGCTAAAAAATTCCAAAATTATTTAAAGTTAAAAGAATCTTTCCTTCTGCAAAACCAAAATCGTCGGAATATGTTTCGTTTTATGTGCCAAATATTTCATCGGTTATGTGGATTATTTTCTTGAATTTTTTCATTTTCTTTTTATTGGTTGCACTTTAAACGTTTTGCACTCTTTCGTAATTAATACATCTAAAAATCGGACAGCGAAAATGACGAAAAAAAATTTAAAACGGAAAAATCCAGGAAATTCGACCATTCTAAAAGGAAAGGTGAAAGAAAATTCACTATAATTCCTCAATAATTAAATTAATTGCAATTATTGCATTTTCAAAATTTATTGCTAAAACTGAATTACTGAATATGATGGAAGACCTACTTTTTTTGATAGTTTTCTCGAAAATATTTTTTGCATCATTTACTTTTTCTTCTTCTTCAAGTGAATATTGTAGGCGATCTTCAGTAAAATGAACAGCTTCAGCATTTTCAAGTTGACTATTGCGCGATTGATTTGCTCGAAACTGAGTGAATGGTCCGATGAAGTGGACACTTAAATTTGGTTTCTGTTGATGAAGTACTCCACAAGTTCCAATATCATTAGTTTGAACTTTAATGACTGTTATGCAATGCGCTGATTGTTCTGGATCATGATAAGATACATAATTCTTAGGCCCAACCAGTGAATCTGATTGCGCAGTTTTTCCCCGAGTTTCAATGTCTGAACCAGATTTTGGACATGGCGGTTTCTCTGAACGAGTTCTTGGTTGACATTTCCAAATTTTTCTATTTCCGCTGTCCTTTAATGTGCAATTTTTTAAAATATTCAAGTTGATAATCAATAAATACTGAATCTTACTGAATAAATGAGTTTTTTTTTTTCAGATAGATTTCAGATTCGAAATTTCTCATAGTAAATCATAAATGATCCGAAGTGTTCAATTTTCTATTTATAAAATTATAAAAATTTTAATAGATTTTTGCAAAATGATGAATTTATGAGTTCTTTTCGTGAAAATTTAATAATCAATGGATAATTCCATTATCCTTTCATCGATTTTACATACATTTCCTTAGAACATTCAAAATCCTCTTATTTATGCTTATAATAAATAAAATCCTATCGCTTACTTCACTATCGAATTCTTCCCATTTATTTGTACGGCTCATCCGGCGGATTTTTTCCGACAAACTTTCTTCGATATGATCTTCCATTAGTTTTTTGACTGAAAAAATTTCGATGGAAAAATGGGACATTGCGGACAAAAATGAAAATATAATGAAATTATTCTAAAGGCGTAGAAATATTGTTTTCAGGAAGCATGTAGTTTTGGAAAACTTTATTTTATTATGGAAGACGATACTTCTCAAAAACGGTTTTACCTTTTATCATTGTTGCCTTTCACGAAGCACTCGATTTTGCGATTTCAACCAAGTATTAATCCATTCCATAATCCTTTTTCATTAATTTATTCCATTGAAAATTAAAAATAAATTTGATTGTTATATATAAATGTAATCCTTTTAAATCAATGATCATAACATGATAAAAATGATAAAACTCTGATCTGCTGTTGCACAATAGATTTCTCATCATTATTGCAAAAAATTTCACTGAATAGCGAACATTACAACTTTTTATAGCAAAATAAATTTCTCAAAACGAGTGATTTACGAATCAAAAATTTAAATTTTTGTGAAAAACGACGACGAATATTTTAAGCTGTGCTTCGCCATCACCGTAAACCATAAAATAAACTTATATTTATGCGAATTATGGAAATGTGGAGATTTCAGAAATTTTCGTGGATGTTAAAATGCATATTATAAAATCTTCACAATCGCAGACCAAATGAACGAACAATTACCTCAGCGATTTTATGCGAAGACTTAAGAAGTTGAGAAATGTCTGAGCAATAAACAATATCAATAAGCAATATTTCAATAACCAAAATTTAAAAACTATGAAAAACTATGTAAAAAAACTATGTAAAAGTTCTAAAAAAATTTTTTAAATTTTTAAAAAAATATTTCATTGATTTTACAGAAAATTGTTTATCACTTTATCTTATTATTAAATTATATTATTTTATAGTAAATTCGCTTATTGAAGATGGAAAAGCAGTTTTTTTAAATTTTTATTAAATTATTTGAAATTAAAATTTCGAATATTTGAGAATATTTTATTTTATGATTTCACCCCTCTGCTTTAAGTTTTTTTATGGATATATAGCAAGGAAAATATTTATGTAGATATAGATATTTCAATAATTATTGTAATAATATTTATATTTTAATGATATTTAATAATATTTATATTTTGTATTTATAATTATATTTCAATAATATTTATAAATATTTATTTATATTCACATAAAACTACTAAAATTCATCGCATAAACCAATTATTGCACCCGATTTAGCCGAATGAAACAATAAAGTTTATAGTTTGAATGCATAAAAATTTCTAAAAATGTGATTTTATTAATTTGCTCAGTAAAAATTCGAATCTTCTGAGTGCGTGCATAGCAAATTTGCTAAAGCTTTTTTCAATAATTATTTTAGGTTATTGCAGCGCTAGCCAAGTTAAGTCCCTAGAAATTTGCTTATAAAAATGTGCCGAAAATATTTTGGATTTTTATGTCACATGCAAAAGAAAAATTAATATGTGTTAACATATTTTTAAAAGATTTATTCTAAAAAATATTTTTAAAAGAATTTTAATTTCTTTTTTTATTAAATTTGCGCAAAATTGTTTATTAATCGAACAAAAAATTTTAAAAAATTTCGAGAAATTTTTATAAATTTAAATTTAAATTTAAATTTAATTTAAGAAATTTAAATTTTTATTTGGCGAAAATTTTTAAAAAATTTCTAAATAAAATTTGTAGATTTTTAGATTTAACAGAAAATTTTTAACGGTAATCATAGAGTTAGTTATTAATGGTGAAAATTTCGTTAATAAAATTAACGAAATTTATGAAATATTTTTTTTGCGTGGAACAACAAAATAGATTAATTTATTGACTCAATAATAATAAATTGGTTAGCATAGCAACGATTAATTTCGAAGGCAAATTGCATTCTTTTCTGTAAAATAATTAGTTTTCGAGTTAAGAAGCGAACTGAACTTATCTTTTAAAAAATGTCTCTTTCCATATTTTGGAATTTTTAGTAAAATTTTTCATTCATAATTCCTTAAGAAAGAATTTCAATATTTATATTAAAGTTTATTTTGTTCATGTATTATATCCATGGAAATCCTTTTCTTACTTTTATTCAAAGAGCAAATCCATTGTTAGGAGTGAAATCCAAAGATCGTACGAAACTTTCTCTATTAGAAATTAAATACGAGGGAATTGGAAAAATTCACTTCATTTATTTCCAAATGTACTACAAAATGATGCTAAAAATTCATCAGTAAATTCCATCTTTATTGCTGTAAACTTATGATTTCCTCGATTTTGGTGCAAAAAGAAGCGCGAAAAATTGCAAGAGACAAATCCTAACCACTAAAATTATCAATAAAGATAAGTTTTATCTGATGAAATTATCTTAAATATTGAGAATATTTAAAGCCAAAATTCTCCTCTCTCCATTATAGCGAATGGTTTTATCAATTAGATCTATTTTTATCACACAATTTTTATGATATTTGTCATAATTTTGTTTCATTTTCAGCTTATAAACTCATGAATTTACAATTATTTTCATTTATACCGTTTCGCAGATAAAATTATTGCATAGATTTCGTTAGGCTACAAAAATATTTTTATTTTTCGTTGAATCTAATTAAATTGATCTTTTTTTTAAAATTTTCTCGCTAATTTACCAGCGAAAATAAAAAATTTAACGAATATTTTCAGTTATGCGTGAAATAATTCAAATTCAAGTAGGTCAGTGCGGTAATCAAATTGGAACTAAGGTATTATTTAAGATTTTAGGAATAAATAATCTCAAAAGTAGCGAGAGAATAAAACAAATAAGGATCGAAAATATGTAACGAACTGGCATTTAAAACGGAATGTTTATTTAAATGCCTTATGAACTGTTGATGTGGAACTTTTCTAAAAATACTCCTTTGGAAATAGAATATTTCTAATAAACAAGACGGAGAATTTTTAGTTTTGGGAAGTCATTTCTGATGAACATGGAATCGAACCCGATGGATCGTATAAAGGAGATACAGATTTACAACTCGAAAGGATTGAAGTTTATTATAACGAAGCACAAGGTTTGTAATTTGAACACGTTATATTTTCATATCAAAGCATTCAAACACAAAATGCTTACTTGAAATCAAAGAGATTTCAGGTAGTAAATATGTGCCACGTGCTGTCCTAGTTGATTTAGAACCAGGCACCATGGAGTCTGTTCGATATTCCACTTATGGTAAAATTTTTCGCCCTGATAACTTCGTTTATGGGCAAAGTGGAGCAGGAAATAATTGGGCCAAAGGCCATTATACAGAAGGAGCAGAGCTCGTTGATGAAGTGCTCGATGTGATACGAAAAGAAGCTGAAGGATCTGATTGTCTTCAAGTACCAAAAGCTTTCATGCAACAGATGAACAATAGAATGAATTTTTTAAGAACCCCCACCGGTTACTGGTTAAATTCGCTCTGCTGTCTTATTTCACTTGAAAAATATGCCAGGAAGTCCCCTGACGATAGGAACAGGTGATTCGCCAGCATCCCTGGATTTTCAGAGCTTTAATCCTGCGAGGAGTGGAGCCTCATCCTGGGCGCTCCGACTGAATAGCACTGAGCCATTCTATGACCTAAGTAATTAAATTAAATAGGAGTAGGAATCGCCATCATTTTTGTCAAAAAAGACAATATTAAATAAGATTTGACAACAAAGTGAAATTTTGGTAAAAATTGATAATTAAAATTATAATGATATGCATGAAAAGTATATGCAAAAAAATCAAAGAACTTGAAATTTGTTAAATATTTAATGCATAAAACTGTTCTTATATTTCAGGGTTTCCAATTAACCCATTCGCTTGGTGGCGGTACTGGTTCTGGAATGGGTACTTTACTTATCGCTAAAATTCGTGAAGAATATCCTGACCGGATTATGGCTTCATTTTCTATCGTACCATCTCCTAAGGTACTTACGAATTTTTCGTCGCTGGAGATTCTCAAGAAATTCTCATAAAAAAGTCCAGTTAAAATTTTTTTTCGAGAGAGACTTTATCTTTAGGTATCTGATGTAATTATTGAGCCGTATAATGCGACACTTTCTGTTCATCAACTCGTTGAAAACACAGATGAAACATTTTGCATCGATAATGAAGCTCTGTACGATATTTGCCTTCGTACTTTAAAATTAACTGGACCAACCTATGGCGATCTCAATCATTTAGGTACATTCTTATCGAAAATTATTCTATCCTTCTGCAATTTTTGAGCATAAGCCTTTGGAAGACCAACAATTTGAAAACCTATTTCCACCGCGAAGTGTTTCAGTATCAATGACGATGTCTGGTGTGACAACTTGTCTTCGCTTTCCTGGCCAGTTAAATGCTGATTTACGCAAATTAGCAGTTAATATGGTGCCATTTCCTAGACTCCATTTTTTCATGCCAGGATTCGCTCCATTAACAGCTCGAGGAGCTGCAGCTTATAGATCAGTAAATATAAATGAGTTGATCCAACAGGTAATCTTATTCTATCATTTTCCTTCCGAAATTTTCTCACATTTCATTTTATTCTTCTTCCAATAACGCACATTTCTTTCGGCTGCCCTCATTGTGAAATGTGCGATTCTTTTGCCAAGGAATATTAGGAAGAGAACTGTCCATAAATCCATGACAGCAGTGGAACCGTAAGGCCGAAGCAAATATTTTTTTAATATATTGCAAAATAATCGCATTGCAGTTATTTCACTCAAAAAATATGATGGCGGCTTGCGATCCACGCCATGGACGATATCTCACCGTTGCAGTAATGTTTCGTGGACGACTTTCAACACATGTGAAACTCCCACCTAAATAATTAAAATTTACAACTTATTTCGAAATTTCGCTCTCATCAAATTAAATTAAGTCATTGTGATCCTGAAATCTGATATATGAATTTCAATGCCGCAGAAATTGCCGCAGATGACTAAGTGCGATGTAATTCCGATAAAAATTTTCATTTTTCCAGGAACTCGAGACGCAAATTTTAAATGTACAAAACAAAAATTCGTCTTATTTTGTGGAATGGATACCGAATAACGTGAAAACAGCAGTTTGCGATATACCACCTCGCGGTACAAAGATGAGTGCCACATTTTTAGGAAACACAACAGCGATTCAAGAAATATTCATCAGAATTGCCGAACAGTTTGAAGGTTTATATATTAATTTTGAAAATAAAAACCATATTTGAGCTTAATTAATCATCAATCTAAGAGGGATATATCGTTTATTTGATATTTTTTTATAATCTGCACCTAAAAAATAAGCAGTAATAATTTCTTGCTAGCAATGTTTCGACGGCGAGCATTTTTACATTGGTATACGGGAGAAGGAATGGATGAAATGGAATTTACTGAAGCTGAGAGCAACATGAACGATTTAATATCCGAATATCAGCAATATCAGGAGGCAACAGTTGACGATGAATCCGATGATAATGCAAACGTTGTCTACGAACAGCAAAATGTGCAAGCACAACAAGAATAATTCAACATTTTTGCACTTTTCATTGTGCTTGAGTTGCTTTTAAATTATTATTTTTCTTTCAGACAAATTTTCTTCGATGAAAATTTGACAAAATTCTAGTGAATTCAATTGAAAAAAATAAATTTTTTCGATAAAATTTGCACATATGAAAGTGATTTTTAAAAGTTTTTTAAATCTATTCAATATAAAATTTAAAATTTATTCGAAAATTCATAAATTTCGGTAATAATTTGTAAATTAATAAATTTAAAATTAATAAATTAATAAATAATAAAAAAATTGATTTGCATCGGTGATTGGACCATCGAATGTGGTGATTAATATTGATTATGCACAACCTTTTCTTCAATATTTTTAAAGATCCTCACCATCACTGGTTAGACTCGCTCCGCACTGGACAGTATTTCAGGGAGCCCCTTGGCGATAGAAGGACAGGTGAGCCGCCGGCACCACCCGGGTTTTTGGACAGCTTTACTCCCCCTTCAATATTTCGTATGTTTTATGTTTTAAATATTAGAAGGAATAAAGAGATTTCTCCCATAAAAAACGATTCGGTGGTGGAAACAAATTAGCTGAAAATAAAGATTTTTTCAAATTCCATACGAAATCATCGAATTAAATTTTCTGACGAATTTTCATATTTTTAATTGTACAATTCTGCAAAAAATAACGTTTTCTTTCTTTCCCCTACTGATCAATGTTTTTTTTTGCATAAAACATAACAATACGGCGTTGTTTTATATCAGGAGATCTTGACTTCGAAGATTTGCAACGAAAGAAGCATGGCGAGGCAGAAATCACGGTTGGAGTACACTTATGGCCTTGAGAATGGAGACGGCGGCTCGATTAGGCGAGAATGTTTTATTGAAGTAATCTTAAGGGTGCACAATCACATGAATAATAGAATATTCAACTAGTAAGTTCATTAGTTAACGCCATAATTTTGCTAGAAATTTCGCTTGACGATATTGGTTTATATAAATCAGCGGAATCACACCGCAATAATGCAGAAGTACCATTTTTATTTTAATAAATTTCTTTTAATTCGGAAATGAATGAGTAGAGTTTCTTAATTATCTCAACTGGCATAATATATATTATAATTTGTTTATTACAATTATTATTCAAATAATCAAGCATTCAAGCATTTTACCGTAAATTCTCGGCGGCGTTTTTCATGCGTTCTTTGGCAGTCTGATGAATTTGCTTTCCGTGGCCCCTTTACTTGCAGCCTGTGGGTCGTTTATTCAGACTTATAAAATTTACTAAATTTATAAAAATATAAAGCAAAACGAAAACAGTGAGGGGTAAAGGAATGCGAAATCATGTTATGAATCCCATGAAGGCGAAATTCGTAAAAGCATTGCTTTCTAAAATTGAAGTCAAATTTCAACTAAAGATTAGCAAAAACAACCATAAATTTTTCCTCTTTCTTATTTACGGGTTCCAGGTTAAATTAATAATATATAGAGCGCTACAAAGGTTTACAAAGTATGGCTTTTGAAACGATTGTCGTAAATCGGTAGAATTTTTTTAAAATTTTGTTAATATTCTCGAAATCTTGGAATCTTGGACACGGCTGTGGAGGAGAGGTTCGATAATGTTGGGGTCGTTTTTAATGGGGTGTGTCGTTGGCTCAGTGGATTCGAATCAGCCTACATACCATTCTTCATCAGGCGGTAGAGAAAAACGAAGGGTGGAATGGATCATTGGGTTGTTGCTTAGTTCGGAACACTTCCAGTAAATCTGTCCAGAAGTCCGAGTGATGGTGGCGGTATGCACTTCTGTTGCCAAGGTACTTCCTGGCAGATTTAGTTTGATGATCCGGAGGAGCGAGTCTAATCAGTGATGGTGAATGCTTTTTAAAAAAATTTTGGTAAATAGGACTTGTTCATAGGACTTATGATAAAGCGGTATTATGAAAGGTGCCCGTGGCGTTATCAGATCGCTAGGGCAAATTTTTCTTTTTCTTTCTATCAGTGTTGATATTTTATTTCATTGCAGATCTGGTACTTTTTTTTCAATGCATCGAAAAATTTTCTCATACACCTTTAATTTTTTTAAAAACTTAAATGTGAATTCTGAATCACTCATTAAGGTTTATCTTTCTTTTATTTATTTTTTTCTTTTTGTTATTTTTATTTTATCTCACTTTTATTTTTTCACTTTCGTTTTCTCATTTTTCAGTTTTGATAAGATTTTTTTCCATTTTTTTTGGTGCGAATTTCATGATTATTTAAGATAGGAATTATTTATACTATTTATTTAAAAGATTAAATTATTTGAAAAATTAAAATTCATATATATCACTTTTTTAACATCGGAAGAGTGCATCCTTCTCCATTATTCATTTGAATATGGTTAAATATTATTTACAGATTTACAGTCTTAATAAATAGGTGCGAAATAGATATAAATGGTTTAATAAGAGAGATGGACTTTGGTCATAACAGCGCTTATGCGATAAATCGCTAATTGGCAATGCTTATTCTTCTTGACCGCTTTCCTTTCAAGCACTTTTTTCGCGAAAATTTATATTTAAAAAAAATTTGAAAGTTTTTAGAAAGCCACATATAGTGCTACATGCGTTGCACCTCGAACGCTTAATGTGCCAGAAACTCATTTGACTACTTTGAAAAATGGATTTCGAGTAGCTAGCGAAGATTTACGAATGCCAACTTCCACAGTAACTTTTTGACCAATATTTTTGTTTTTCTTCAAAAGTAGTTTTTTGCTGGAAATTTTTATCGGGTTTTTTTAAAAAAACTCGCAAAATTTCTTTGGTACAAAATTTCAGTTTGCAATAAAAAAGAATGTAACGTTTGGAGCGTTTTATTCATTTAATTCTCTAGTCAATTTTTACCACATTTCATTAATTCGAAACTTCATTTTTATTTTTTTTTAATGTTTGAAATATTTAATAGATTTTTTATTTGTTATTTTAAATTCATCATATTCAAGTCGAACATTTCAAACATCAAACTTCCTATCAAATTATTCTATTTTTTTCTTACCATTTTTTCTAGCAAATGAACGTTATCTTCGGTATTATTTTTTCGGTATTATTTTAAAAATAATTTAATAAATAATTTAAATAAAATAATAAAATAAAATAAAAAGTAATTGTTTTAGGTGGGTGTATGGATTGATGCTGGTAGTCGCTTTGAAAATGATCGTAATAATGGTGTTGCTCATTTTTTAGAACATATGGCATTCAAGGTTTGGTAAAATGATTTATTTTAATTGTTTGTGATTTTTGCAATAAAAATCCCTCATTTTCCAGTTGGAAATAAATTTACATTCTTACTAAATTATTCTTTGTGGTTAAAATAATTATAATTCTTCGGCAATAAACTTTTTTTTATTCATTCCTACAGGGTACAATGAAGAGAACGCAAACTGAATTAGAAATTGAAGTTGAAAATATGGGTGCTCATTTAAATGCATACACTTCACGTGAACAAACTGTATATTATGCAAAATGCTTTTCAAAAGATCTCGAACACTGTTTGTTTTTAAGCTCTAGTTGATTTTTGTGGTGTTATTCTTGTTAGTCAGTTATTCTTCTTCTATTATATCTGATTTGATTGGTCCAACTGATTATTGAAATGAGGTGCTTAGATTATTATCTTCTTAGCCAGACATTAATAGTATTGGTTAACATTTTTATTTTTATAATTTTCACCGTTTATTTTAAAATTGACTACCCTGAAATAGAATTTTATTTTTTAACATTTTTATGTAAAAGTTTATCTAACAAATGTTTTTAAAATGTTTTCAATTATAGTCTGATCATTTTAGCTGTTGAAATGCTATCAGACATTCTTCGCAACAGTCAATTAAGAAATGCGGAAATTGAACGTGAAAGAAGTGTGATCTTACGAGAAATGCAGGAAGTTGAACAGAATTTACAAGAAGTTGTTTTTGATCATTTACATGCTGGCGCTTTCAAAGGTACACCACTTGCTAGAACAATACTTGGGCCTATTGAAAACATTAAGTAGGTTATAATTTTTTCGCCATGGAATTTGACATTCTATTTTATTGCTAGTACAATTCAAAATTTGTTCAACTAGTTATAGTTCAATATTTTTCTTTGTATTAAGATGTTTCTTCTTTTAGAATTTCTTATTTCATTATTTATTTTAGTACTATAAAACGTGATGATCTTATCGAATATATAAGTGAACATTACCGTGGTCCTCGTATGGTTTTAGCAGCAGCTGGTGGTATCAATCACAGTCATTTAGTGGATATTGCTCAAAAATATTTCGGTGATTTAAAAACATTGGAAGATGACTTTGTCATTGAGCCCGGACAGTTTGTTCCTAGCTATGTAATCTTATTTTTGTCATATGTATTTTTTTACTTATTTCTTCATTTTGGCAAGTTTCCAATTCTTTTTTCGCACTTTATAAGGTATTTTTTAGCAAAATATGAGGGATGATCGAATGTCTATGGTTTATGGGGCTTTTGCAGTTGAAGGAGCTTCGTGGTCACATTGTAATAATATTCCATTAATGGTCGCAAACACTGTTGGTTTAAAATAATTTTTCCTCAATAGTTTTATTAATCATTTTGTCTCAGAGAGGTTAAATCTACCGATTGTCTATTACTGAAGGTATTCTCTATAAAAAATAAAAGAAAAAGAATCATTTACTAAAATGGTGCTAAATGATATTATATTCTAGTTTTTGATATTACAGTCATTAAAATTTTCGCTTAACATAAATGCTGCTTCATCTCCATATTTTCAGCTGTGAGCGGTTTTCTTTGACGCAGTAAAAGAATAAACCGCTTGTTTTTCAGATCATTGGCCAGTGGGATCGAACGAATGCAAGTGGAATTAATGCTCCATCTCGGCTTGCTGAAAGATTGGGCTTAAATTCTCATGTCCAATCGTTTCAAGCATTCAATACTTGTTATAAAGATACTGGTCTAGTTGGAATATATTTCATCTGTGAAGAAAAAGGCTCTAAAACTATGGCTGATGCTATTGTTGATGAATGGTATTGTAAATTTTTTACTCTTATTTACTGCATATTGAAAGCAGAAAAATATCCTTGCAATATGCTATCAAGTCGATCCATAAAATTTAAAAGCTTTAATTTTATTTAACATTCGTAATATTCTTAAAATTTTAATTTTTTAATTAAAATCTTATTTTATTTAATCCAGTTTTAATTTTCTTTAAAAAATCTTTGAAAATCAATAGCTCCACATTGAATTTAAAATTATAAAATATTGAGCAGTTTACATATTTCACCACTTGTAATTTGTTATACTACTAAAATAGGACCTTTTATCAAAGGGTTACTTGGGAACGGACTGAATGAAATTCGCTAGGATTTTTTGTATATTTTTTGAAAATTCAAAATTCAAGAATGGGATAATAAGGCTATAACTATCAGCAATTTATCAGGGCAATAAAATAAATAAATCACCAAAGTAGTAAAAAATAAATTTCCACAAATTTTCAAGATCTTTTAAATGTTTGAATTGCTTTAGGAATTATTTATGTAATGAAGTAAGCGAAGAAGAAGTTGAACGAGGAAAGAATTGCCTATTAACGAACATGTTGTTGATGCTGGATGGTTCAACACCGATATGTGAAGATATTGGACGGTATTTTCATTAATTTTTTTAATTTTCGAATTAAATAGATTTGATTTAAAGCGTTTTTTGTTTATTTTATTTAAATTTAAAATTTTAAATTTAATTTCATTTAATTTCGTTTAATTTCATTTTAATTTTTTATAAAATATATAATTTTCTTAGGTCACATTTATAGTAATTTAGTAATTAATTAGTTTGAAAAAGTTAGATTTATACCAAGAAATACTGGAAACAAATTGACGATATATATTATCAAAAGAAATTTTGTAATTCGTGCATATTAATGGCTACAATAATTATATAAATTTTGGTGAAATTTCGAAATAACTTTTTTTCAGTAACTTATGATTAATCGCTATTTTTTAAAAATTATATTAAAGATTATGTTTGAATTTGTGAAAAATTCGAAAATATGCCCGAAATTCGAAAATTTAATTTAGATTTACCTTATTATTAAGGTAATTGTATTACGATAATTGTGCATGTTGGCCATCTTTGCTTTTGAAGCGTTAAAATAAAAAAAATTCTTTTGCGTTGTTTTTCGCTAATATATATTTCTTCATTTTCCTTCTTCTATTTTTGTTTCAAAAACTTAGAAGACTTCTTTTAAATTTTTTTTTAAACTTCTTTTTTGTATAATCTTTTTCAATGATATTCGATTTTTTCACTTTTTTTCTTATTTCTTTTTTTTCCATTTTTGTTTGATTCCTTTTCAATAGTATTCTTTTTTCCTTCTCCTTCTTTAAGGATTGTTTTTGGTATCGAAAGAACTTTTCTTTCATTTCTTTTACCATTCTTAATGTATGATTTTAGTAATATTATAATATTTATAATCAAAAATCAAAAAATTGAGAAAAAATATTTAGACAAATATTATGCTATGGACGAAGAATACCGATTCATGAATTAGAAGCAAGAATTAATGTAAGTTTGATTTAATTCAGTTTGTAAATTTGTAAATATGTAAATTGTAAATATGTGTATATATCATTTTATATCAATTTTTTGAAAATAATTTATCAAACCAAAATTGTTTGAGCGTTTAAAAATGGTAAAAGTATTGTTTTCGATATCGAAAGATTTAACTGTTTATGCTGAAAGATTTATATTATAGTTAATCATAAAAATCATTAAATTTACATCGTACGTTTTCCAAATATCAACAAGTATCAAAATCTTGATATTCCCTTAATTTCTTCTCTAGCCTTGTTTTCATACTCATCCAGTCGTTATTCTACTTGCTTAGTCTTTTCTCATTGGTATCCAATGGAGTATTTTAATTCGAAGAGGTTTAATTAAATGTAATAGGTTTTAGAGGATAAATAGGGTAAAGTTTTAACCCACCGCGATAGGCAGATAGTTGTAATAGACTCAGTGTTCCATTATTTAGATTGCTGTGTTCTATATTATTCTGTATTCTGTGCTCTGAGTCGTTTAATATATTTTATAAGACTGTGCACATTCTTCGAATCTGCAGCAAAGAAATTTATTAAAAATATTTTGTCATACCTATTTACTTTAATATCTTGATTTGCTTTTATTTCCTTCTTTCCTTTGGTACTTTTCATTTAATTAGATAGGTTTAGCTTAAATTAGGTCTTTACACATTTAAAGTACATTTTACAACTATTGATATGATAAATACGGGAAAAAACCTTATGAACTACTCATACTTTTTTAAAAAAATGATATAAAATTTGCTAAATCTCATAACACTGAATGCAGCTATAATTTTCATAATGAACAGCTTCATTATCTTCGTATTTACATTTTTTATTTTATTTCAATAATATTTCCATTCTTTCAATTTTATTTAAAATTTTATTCTTACAATAAGAATTAGATTAAGCACCTCACATTTGTGTAACGTTACATCTCGTAGAAAATTTAAAAAATAAAAAATAATGAAAAATTAAATTGAAGACTTCAAATTCTGATCATTAATTTATTATTTATTTACTTCTGTTTTTGTTAAAAACGATAATTCACTTGTGATTTAGTGATTTAGTAATTAATTAATTACAGCTTATTGGGTACTTTTAGGCAGTTACAGCTGATACAATCAGAAAAGTTTCAACTCAAGTATTTCGAAATCGTCCATTTGCTTTCACTGTTATCGGTTGGTTTTTGATTTGCTTTTTTTTTACATATATTTTTCTTAAACTAAATTTCCATTATAATTTCAATTTAATTTTTAATTATGTAATTTGTCTCGTGAAATAAAAAATATTTTTATGAGATAATGAATTATTTATGAAGAATTTTGAAAGAGCGAAATGAAAAGAGAGGAAGAAAGCATTCTATTCTAAAGAAAGCATAAAATATTTAATTTTAAATATAATTTAATTTTAATGCAAATTTTGGCTTGTAATGAAATCTTGAATATTTAATATTCAAGATATTTATAATGTGGAAAAGCAGCAAAATAAAAATTTTTTTTCTGGCAAAATTTTGAATTATATTCGAGAAGTATATTTGTTATTTGTTAAGTATATTTGTTAAATAATTTGTATATCTGAAAATTTTCGATACATTCATGGAACTCGACGTTAAATGTGAGATTTTTTTAGGTAGAACCAATGAATGGCCGTCATGGGAATATATATCAAATCGATTAAGATAAAAAGAAGAAAATATATGTTGATGATGAAAATATATGTGGATTTTGATTATACTTTAAATTATTTTAGCAATCAATGAAAAGTTTTATAATATAGATAAAAGAAAATGAGCAACATTTGTTAGTTCTTCTTCAAAATTAAACAAGCAGTCATACCTCTTCTTCATTAAAAATGTTCTAAATTTAAATTTCGTCCAGTTCTTCTCTCAGAATTATTGCTTATTATATTTTATAAACAACCAATATTCACTTCGAACATTATGGATTGTCAATGCGTTAAAGAAGAATGCCAGTTCTGTTAAGAAATAATTTGAATCTTGGTGGAAGTAATAGTCAGTCACGTTTTGATTCGCATCGAAAACTGTCACCCGATGCTAATTCGAATCATGTTGATGTTAACCCAACCTTACCGAAGCTTAGCAGTAGACGTACAATTTCAATTGTCAGTTTTGCTCATTCACCCGAAAAATCCAAATCTAAAACTCGTATTCAAAGATTGCAGTTGTTATATAAAAAGCTTAAATTGCATCTTCTTGTACCATTATTATTTATTATTTTATATATGTTCATAGGATCATTTTTATTTTTATGGTTTGAAGCGAGTGATGAACTCAAAAGAAAAACTCATAAATATGATTTATTTGTGCGCGAAAGAGAATTATTTTTGAAACGTATGGAAGAAATTTATTTGGACCAAGCAGCTGCTGAAATAAATTTACGAAAACTTTTTACTGCTCAAGCAATTGACTATTTTCATGAACAAATCGCAGTTTCATTCTCGAATGAAACTGAATGGTCATTAGCTACAGCGCTTTATTATTCTGGCACAGTTTTCACTACTATAGGTTTATATTTTTTATTATTTCAAAATTAAGAAATCTGGAACAAATTTGTTTATAATTTATATCCTTTCAAAAACCTTTTGGTATGAGCAACGGTGATAATTTCGCATTAAATATTGTCGAAATTTATAAGAGCATAGGTGAACGCCGTGAACGCGTCTCTGTTCACATCTCTAACGCAGCATTTTAAGCGTTTACGTGAAGTGAGAAGTGAATAATTGTTTCGGAATATTTTTAGCTTTATTATGTTTTCATGCGTTAAATATTTATGGAGAATTTCTTCAAAAATTTTATGCATTTTTTTCTGCATTTAGTATGAATAGTGTAATTTGATTGATAAATCTTGTTTTGATGTTTCTTATATGATTACATGATTAACAGCAGTAATCATCCATTGTAAATGAGTGATATAATAAACAATCGTTTTGATAATTTTGAAAGATTTGATGATTAAAATTCATAAAAAAGCTTAAAATATAACAGATTTCGAAAAAAAATTCATCTTTCGTTGTTTTTCACAAATTTGTGTCAATTTTTTTTCAAAATTAGTCGAATACAAATGAAAATAATTGAAGAAAGACTAATTAGCAATTTTATAAACTAATTATTGAAAATTTAGAATAAAAAAGTTGGAATTAATTTTACGACAGAAGATTTGCGTGGAGAAGATGGAGAGATGGCAAGAGAGAGTGCACCAAACGGTGGCACTCGAATAACGCTAATCGTCATAAAATTTGCAGGATATGGAGACGTTGCGTGTAATACGGTGGGTGGCCGAATTGTGACCGTGGTCTATGCAATTATTGGTATCCCTCTAATGTTGATCACTTTGAATGATTTGGGCAAATTTTTCTATGCGGCGATTAATTGTGCTGTAAAAATTGTCGGTGAAAAAAATTCGAGTTTGACGAAATTTTTGAGCAAAGGCACGGATAAACCAATCGATGTCGAAGTTGGTGAAAATAATACTGTGGCTGAAAATAATGAACTTAAATTTCAACTCAGCACCGATGACACAACGATCACGTTGGATGAAAAACAAGTGGCACCTGGTCCACCACCAAGGATGCCCGTCACCGTGGCTATTGGAACAACTGTCGGCTGGATCTTTTTTTGTGCAGCACTTTTCAAAATTTGGGAAAATGACTGGACTTATGCCGAAAGTTGCTACTTTATGTTCATCAGGTATACAAGATTTATGCCACAATAAACGCAATTAGTTTTTAAAATAACTGACATACCACTAAATAACTAAAATCCAAACTAAGACCTTTTGAGAACGACAAAAAGGGCGAGGAAATTCAAAAAGTGACTTTTAAATCAGCGGAAACTTCATTCGTCATTCATTGTCATTTAAAAAAAATGAAGAAAATGATAAGAAAAACTAGAGTGAAGTGTGTTGTAACGAATGCTTGACTGCTAGAGGTCTATCTGCTAACTCTGTGAAAAATTAATTCTCTAGTGGATGACCATCTAAGCATCCAAGTGGAACTCAAATTGACTCCTGAATGGTTCTCAATTCGTCCCTGGTTTGTATAAGTGTTTCCAAAGAAACATGACAAAACAGAACAGTCGTACTGATTTCATATCAAACAATTATCACCATAATTTGCCATAAATCTAAGTTAGATAATCAATGCTGGTAAAATACCTACTTTTATCAGTTCATTGCCGGTTGAGGAAGTGGTGGACTTTAAATACTTTGTATCCATTCTAATCCCGAATGGCCAGACGAAGGATGAAATTGTAACACGGATAAGGACAGCTAGAAATATGTGTGTTCGGATGGTAAAGTCTTTATGGAACCGTCAGGGAATTACCATTTCGCTGGTTAGGGCACGTTTTACGTCATCCACCACAGGATCTGACGCATATTTCGTTACATGCTAAACCCTGTGATGGTTGGCGTAAAAAGTGAGGGCCAATCAAGACCTGGACTGATACACAGAGGACCAGCGATATATGAACTTAGACGATGGAAAAAGGAACGAAGCCAGCCTAACCAGTAATGGTGAAGCTGTTAGAAGAAGATGAAAAAGGACATCGCATAGCTATGTGCTTCAAAAATCAGGGCAATTCGCGTTTTATCGCATTGACTAAGCTACAGGCTATCAATTAATTTTCACTAATACTATCCTTCATCCATTAATTATCCATTATTACTATTAATTATCCACTATCCATTAATTTTCCTTAGTATTTTTTAATGTTATTTTTTAATTTTAGTTTATCGACAATTGGACTCGGAGACGTTGCAGTTAAGCGAAGGGAGTAAGTAAAAGTTTCCTCATCCTATTTTTCTCCGTAATATTACCTTATAAATCTTTTTTTAACAAAATATTTCGCCGATTTCATTAAGTCGTTCACATACGGACAAATTATTTCGAAAATCGAAACAGCGATTCCAAATTAATTCTTTTTTGCACTCATCTATGATAAAAATGCTTAATACTGACAGTACCATGAAAATCAGTACCATAAAAAAAAAATTTCCGTTTTTTGCCTATTTTTAACTTTCGCTGTTGATGATCATATGATTAAGTAAGAGTGATCGTTTGCTTATAAATTATCTATTTAAAGCCAACGTTTGATTGCAAGCATTCCAAGCGCTCAGGCAGCGCACTTTTTTCATAACAAATTGTTTCAGTTTGATGGTAATTTGTTTCGTATTTGTTATAATTGGTCTTTCACTGGTCAGTATGTGCATAAATGTTATTCAAGCAGCGCTTGAAGATTTCTACATTCGAATACTTATGAAAATTTTACTTGACTATCAACGAAAATTAGCTGAAGGTTTAAGTTTTTTTGAATATTTTTATATATTTTAGTATTTAAAATGCGTTGGTTTTATAGGAACTCTTCTCGAAAATCTTTTCTCCTTTAATTTTATATTTTATTTCAACAAACTGTCGTGAAGTGTTACAAATAGAAATTTGCATTGCTCTATATTCATTATCTTGATGAAAGAAGAAAGTTTCTTCTGGAAGTGACAAATTACAGGCGATAACAGGATGGGTGCATCAGTTGGAATGATGCAGTCGTGGAGCAATAATCGCGCCGCGAAATATCTTATGCCTCTTCTTAGGTTTAATTTGAATATTTGCAGCCAAACCGTAGTTCACAGCGAAGTAGTTCTTTGTGTAAATTTATGAGAAATAACAAATGACAAATGACAAATTACATGGAAGGAATAAAGAATAAGAATAACTAATAAAATGCAAAACGAATTCACATAAAGTAGAGAATTAAAAATTTAAAAAATTTAAAAATGAAAATGGTAAAAAAAGTATTTCAATAAATTTTAAATTTTAGTAAAGATAGGCGAATGCTGGCAATGGCGAAAGTTCAGGAAGATGCAGAAGCGAATGGGTTAGAAGTTCCATTAATATTTTCCGATATTGATGAAAAATCTGGTCTACCAAAAATATTTGCACCTTCTCCTGATATCAAGGAAACAGTTATGGAGGACTTATTGCGTGAAATAAGCGTGAAAGCACAATCACTTGAATCAAGTTCTCAGCGTGCACCCATTCTTTATGATGGTACTACTCAAACCGATACTACTATTTGGTTAATTAACTTTCTTATAGCATTTCCTTACGTTTCTAAATCACTCAATCAACATCATTTACTTCAGTCAAAAAATCTATCGCACATCAAGTAAAATTATACAGCTTGCAATTCTTACTTGCTTACGTTCGTGGCTCCAAAGTTTCAATCTCCATTTTTTCCGGTTAAAAAGATTAAAACGCATGAATATAAGTGATGGAAAGGAACAATTTTATAAAAGCCATGTATCGAGGGTATCGAGAAAAATCTCTCAAAACACATATCCTCTTATGGAATAATACTGCATAAACGGTAGAAATATAAATAAAACTTAAATTAAACAAAATTTAAACAATAAATAAAATGGAACTGAATAAAATTTATTTTCTTTACAACATGCTTTATTTTCAATGATAAATAAGATTCGAACAAATTGAATTATAATTGTTCTATTATCAATAATTAATTATTATTACTATACTTGTTCTATTGAGAAAATAAATTTTTGAATTTATATTTTTATATTTATATTTGCGATGAATAAGGACCATAGATTTGCAGCTTCGAAAAAATGGAGCAAACTATATTGGAGACATCTGAGAAGTATACTGAAACCGAAATTTCACAGAGTTCACGGAGTCTCAACGATGTTTGTGTACAAACAGATTCACATGAAGGAATCGACATGGACACTCAAACAAGAGCCCAGCCTCGAAATGATCAACAAACCATGACGCACAATCCAGAATTCACTGTAATCCTCGATTTTCGACTTTCTAATGATAAAATGACAAAATTGATATTTAGAAATAAATAGACGTGAATTTTATATTTTCGAATAAGAAATTCTAATTTGATTAAATGTGATAAATGGAATTGCTTTTTTTTTAGGTTATGGATATACAAACCGATATAATTCCAACTGTTAACGAAATTCTTCAAGCAGAATGCGCCGATTATGAGGAAAACGGAATACAAACCGATTTAGCTGAGTGTTTAAATGAATCAGTGCAAACATTCCCGACACAACCCGAGGTCACTGAAGACGAAAGTCAAACAGATGTAAGTTCTCCCCAGGATACAAGGGCAGATTCGTTTAAATCAATTCTTAAATTTTTATATCGAGGAACATTTGTCTGCTTATCTGCTAAAGTTAGTAGACTATTTATCGCAGTAATGGTACAGCAAATAAGACTACAACATATAAAATACATTACATAGGATCAATTTTTTTAAACAGCCCTCACCTTACTGGTTAAACTCACTCCACTGACCTGTCGCACTGGACGAATATGTCGAGGAGTTCCTTAGCGACAGAAGTGCAGGTGAATCGCCAGCATTTTTGGGCAGATTTTCTCCTGCCGGGAGTAGGACCTCAGCATCAACGTTACGAATCCACAAACAACCCAATGAGCCACTTCGTTCCCCACATAGAGTTAATAGGATATATGAATTGAACAATCACGAGTGTTACTATTTCTACTATTTATATTTAAAATATTTATAATTTAAGAATCCTCAAGGAGATTATGGATCGCAACTTAAGAATCCCTGCTTCAGATTGGGTTTCACTGCTATTTTTTACAATAATATCATATTTTAAAGCAAAGATAACACGATAAATACGATTTATTCAAGCATCTCACTTGTGCTTTAGATTTACCTGAAGAATTCAAACTTTTCAGCAGATTCCTGTGGAAAATGAAAGGTTAACGAGGCGCCGTTCCGCTGATCCGTCGGTACAAGTGTGGGATAAAATTGATGAATTAGAAGATACAAATGAAGAAGATGAAGAATCAAGTGAACGTCTCGACTGGAATCCCGTTGATGGAATGCATGCCGAAAAACAAAAACCAGTTCGAGCTCTAGCTAAAATGTTTGAGATTCGATCGCAAAACTCTTTGCGCTCTGAATCTCTCGCGCAATATCGCTTGAAAAGAAACAAAAGTTTATCAAAAGAAAAATCAAAATCACCGAGACCTGGAAAAGAAAAACAGTAATAATAAAATTTTATAAAAGTCGGTCGGTTTTGATCCTAAATTAATGAGCGAATTATTAATGCTCTATAACTTATAATAATCTATCTGTTTATATTATCACTAACAATCCACGCATATCACCTGATAATCAAATTATCAATATAAATTCTTTTTCTCGTTGACCTCCTTACCCTTGAATTCATTCATATACCACAATTACAATATGCGTGGCTAATTTAATTTAAAATATTTCTTATAGTTATAAATTTTTGGCTTTCAGATTTAAGTATTATTTATGATTGTCATTTATTTATCTATTTGTACAGTATTTATAATAAAAGAATCTTATTTCGCATGAATTCACAAGTTGCCCCAGTAAGCAGCACATGGGCCATCGTCTTTTGAAAAGAGTGAACCTGTCACCTAAAGCTAATCCTGCTTTTCGAGCACCCCACATTTGCCTGCATCCATTCTATTTTGTCACTCTCTGTCGGAATAGTTATTGGTACCTCATTCCACTATTTAGTTGGACTAGCCAAACCAAAAATACCATGAAAATTTAAAAAAGAAATTGGGGGAATATATTTCCAATCCTCACTTAAATCTAAAAAAACTAAAAATTTTATAAAAATAAATAAATGAAGGAAGTTTAATAGAAATTTTAATGATAATTATAAAAACTATATTCACAGGACGAGCCTATAAATACGATAAGATCGTAAAATTATTCATAATTAGCCTTCGACAAGCAATTCTCTTCGATAACTCGACATCGGTAATAAAATATTTTTATTTATTACTTCTTCACATTACTTTAATAATTTTACAATAATCACTGACGAAGAATTTCGATAAAAACAATGAACGAATAAGATCTGAAAAAAAAACTGACCAAAATACAAACTAAAATATATCTATAAATGAATTAAGTAATTAAAATGAGGAGGAATAATTTTATAAGATCAAATATTTTGCATTTTAAACGAATGCAAATAAAAAATATTCAAAAATATAAAATAATTCAAATATCGAAAAAAATAAGACTTAAATATCTAAAATATATATATGTACATGCACCTTACGAGAGAGCTGAGAAAAACGAAAAAATGAAATAAACTGGAGCAATTACGTTGGATAATTCGAAAAGGTATTAGATATAAGTATTAATGAGTAATGAATGACCTAAACAGAACGGATTAAAGAGGCAGTTAAACGCAATCTTCGATGAGTATTGGATTATGTGATTTGCCTTCGACTTTAGGTTGATTTAAGCCACAAAGTTGAAACTGAGCAAAAAAAACATAGAAAAAAACAGAGAAACATTCTCTGATCGAAACTTTGCAAAAAAGTCGAGGAATTCTAAAAGAAGTATAAATTCTTTGGATCAATTAAAATTAAAGAATTAGAATAACCGTCGCAATTTATATAACAATTTATGACAATTTCCTATTCCCATTTATGACTGCATTACTTGCAAAGGTGAAATTAATCGCAAACATTACGAAGCTGAAAGACCTAGGAAATCCTATAAAATATGCAGAAGTTAAGTGAAAACATTAAGAGGTTACATAAATTATTAAAAATTTGTACGAAAGACGCATAAAGACATAATGTGCAAGCCCTATGAATTATGTAACCCTGTAAGAAGAGCTATTTAATATCAGTGATGAAATAACAAGAGGAAAATATAATTGAGAGGAAAAGATAACCAAAGTTTTTTCCTTAATTCTTTACTATTATTCTTTTCCAATTTCCAATTTTTTATTAATTCTGTGAATGTTTTGGTACGTCAAAATTTTTTAAAATAAAAGTGAATTTTAAAATCGACATGGTTGAAATTCATATTTTGCTGCTAATATGTACGCAAAATATGATTTTTTTTTAAATTAATAAATAATAAATATTTTGATCAGAAATGAAATGAAATACACAATAATTCATCAAAAAATGGATAATCCAGAAGCGAAAAAAAAATATTTTGATTCACTAGCCTTGAAATTTTTTTCACCAAAAAAATGCAATTTCTATTGATTTCCTTCTATAGATTAAAACAATTTAAAATAACAATCTTTTCATAAAACACGAGCTGAAAAAATGGATTAAGGAGGAACATATGGAGGAGGAAGACGCTGACTAGTTGTTGAACTCCTTGGACGTGGACTTGAAGCTGATGAAAGTGGCGGGGGTGGTTTATAAAGAGGGTTCTCATGCTGTGATATGATAAGGGGAGGCCTCTCTTCTTTGATAAGCATCGGAGTGGACACAGTTATTATTTCCTCTTCTTCCTGTGGGATTTCCTCCGGAAACACAATTGGAAGTCCTTTTGAAACAAATTCAGACTGAACTGAAAACAAAGAAAAGTAATAAGTAAGTAATAAAGTGGAAATTTCATAATGAAACTAGCGCTAAGAAAATGTTAATTTGAAAATTTTGAGCAATGAATTTTACAAGCAATAAATCCTTAATAAGCAATACAATAAGAAATAAAAAATCTTATGAAAAAAAGCATAATTTAAACAGAATATTGAAAAATGAACTGAGAATATATGAAACAATAAAACCATAAATACCTGCTTTGATATGCCGCCTTCTCGAAAAGCAACAAATGAGGATAGAAATCAATATTAAAATTATAAAGAAAATGACAAGTACGAGTGGCAACCAGAAGGAAGTACTTGTAGATAGAATTTCTGGATTTAATGTAGTTGCTGGAGAAGTCAATGTCTCAACTATGGATGCAACTGTTGTTTGTTCTGTTCCATTTTTATTACATGATCCTATAAAAAAACGAATAATGATAATCATTTTAACAGAATATGAATTAGAAAAAAAGTCGCATAAATAAGAAAATTTTGAAAATTTTGTAGATTAACAAAAAAACAAATCACCAAAAAGCTCAAACTGAACATCGCGGATATGAAATCGCAAACTCATTGCTCTTATAAAATCATTTCGAACTCTATCTCGTTTCCTTGTTAACATTATATACCTAATAGAATCAATTGCTTTTCGGTGACAAATTTCATATGGCAATGAAGAATTGAACCAGCTTATCAATGTTCGACCGTGTAATCCAGGTTTCACATTTCTAAAAAATTACTGAAAATAGTGACTGACGTAACATCTCCAATTTTTTGCAAAAATTAACATTAAACTGATAAATAAAGCATTAGTAAATAAAATTTTCTCAAAAGATCCTCAAACTATAAAACTCTCCAAGTGAAACATTATTTTAATACCACATGATATTTTTTGAAAATAGAGAAAATAGAGTTTAATACTTGATTACAATAAAAAATCCAAGAGTTCTGGCAAAGTACGATGAGATATACAAAATAGGGCAAAATCATTTCTTTAAAAAAACTTTAGAATATGTTAAAAATGATCATAATAATTACTTTATAACAATATTGTGCGGAAGTCGATCACCCAGAGAATTTGCTAATTTTTCAACAAAAGCGTATAGAGTTGACGCCTCAGAAATTCGATCATAATTTTGCTGAATATCAAGAGTAAAAAGATGATTTGACAAAGAGTTTTCTTGGACGGATACTCGAAATGCAGCAGAAGTCATCTGAAGCCATTTTTCATATTAATAATGGACGAAGGTAGGAAGATTATGAAAGATCTTTAGATAAGTAAGCGAAAAATACTTTCATCTATCTTTCCACTATGATCCATTAATTTATCCTTAATTTATCCTTAATTTTCCATTAATTTTATTACTAAACACAACTGATCTGGTTGATACTTTATATTTAATTAGTAAATGTAAAAAACACGAACCTGGTTCGCAGAATCTCGAGCCTCAAGGCGAAATTCGAAATCACCAGTATTCATAGAAATACCACGCAACATAAGGCGATTCCTATCAATAGATAACCAACTTTTATTACCACCCAAAGTAAACACTGATAACGATAAAGAATGAGTATCACCATCTTCTGCATCAACAAATGTTTTCTCCGGTATTATCAGTTCACATACTGCTCCTCTGAAAAACTTACAAATTACCATCATCCTTTCGATTTCAAATTTTTATTTATTTTTTTTTGTTTTTTTATTCACAAAAATGCAATATTTCAATTCTGAAAAATTCTGAAAAACTCATCATCTCGCATAGAATAAAAATAAAATGAAAAATTACGTGAAATGAAAAATTAAGAAAGATTTGCTCAGTCAAAAAAATTAAACATTCGTTCTTTTTTTTCCCATGACTAAGCATAATTTAAATAATTTAAATAACCACTTTATTTAAAATACATTTGATATTTTGTAAAGATAGTAAGTCGTTGATTTTGCTATTTAATATGTATTTATTAATATACCTTATCAATTAATGTTCATGCGAAATACCAAAATAATTCTATAAAAATGGAGATTTTAAAGCATAAATTTAAATAAAAATATTTCAGTTTTTTTATAATATATGAAAGTGCATTTTAATTAAGAAATTATTGAGATTGAAAGAACGAGTAATATATAAAGTCTAACATCTGCCACATTTAAAAAAGAGGTACAGATGGATGATAATTCGAGATGTTTATTAACATATTTATTAAATACCGTACATTGAATGGATAGTAAGAGAATTATTTTCCCCTTTATTTATAAATAATTTATAAAAAGCGAAAGAAAAACCTTTTACAGTAAAAAGTGAGTAATGAATTGAGTCGAACAGGTGGATGATCAATCATTCGACGAGTAGAACGAGTTAATCGCAGTGTTCCACTTGACGATAACGATAACATCTCATCACTACTTTCGATATTGTCATACGGTTCGTTGGTTGCGAATTCGTCGGACAAATGAGACGAAATGACACCGGATATCGCCTGATTCCGCTCTTTATGAGCAGTTATTTTACCTTTTGTTAACTGAAAATACTTACTCTCCATATAATTCATTGTAAAAAATTATATACAGCAGAATTTCAATTTATTTCTCAGTTTTTGTAATTCATAAAAAAATGACAAAATGACAATTTTTTCGACAATCCATCTGCTTTAAGAAATGCGATTTGCAAATTAATCTGATAGTATACAAGAATATTATAAAACTATTAATAACAAAAAAGCCAACCCTCCATCCAATGATAAAATCATCTTTGATGAAATCCTTAGGTAAATTAATCAAATTTTCGATAATATTTAAATGATTTTCATCGATTTGTTCGCAATAAATTCGCATAAAAATTACAACAAATCGTTTATCAATATCAATATTTTTGTTTATATTTGTATCCGTAATTTCATAACGATAAATTTCGTTTTTATATTCTTCAGAATAGATTCGAAACAATGAACTAAAATTGCATATTCAAATGGAATTTCTTATGAAATGTATATGAATTTTTTATAGAACACAAACTATAATTAATAAACTGGCGTCAATGGCACTTATGACAGAGACGAATCATTATCAGCCACTCAGCTAATTACTATTCCTCCTTATCGATTTTATCTAACCATAATTTTAATAAAATACCAAAAAAATTAGTAAATTTGGAAGAAATTAAATTTAAAAGCAAAAAACCTGCTGATGTTAAAATAATCATGAAAATAATCGATAATTTTTAATTTTTCCTCTACATTCAGTTTATCGAAAGATTTATTTAAGACGATTTCCATCCAATTATTCTCTTGAATGCCGCACTCATTCAATTCATCAGTGATTTCGAATTCTATGACGGAATTCGAGCCATTTTCACCAACAACACGAATATAATATTTGCCAGTATCATCGAAATTTGGGATTCCTTGTAGAACTCTTAAAAACAACAATTTTTAAATTTTTGCGCTCAAAAAAAAATTTTAATTTCACGAATTTCAATTTTCAAGAATCTTAAAAAGAAACTTCTTGACTAAAGAACTCCTCATTTTTGATTCGTCATATCAAAATTTTTTTCAAAACATAAAAAATCACATTTTTCAAAAATAAATGAAATAAAGTGAAAATTGAATTCAAAATATTATCAGAAATTAATTATCAACAGAAGAAGATTAATTCGAAAAAGACTAAAATCAGATGAATTAAGCGAAAAAAGCAAACTTCAAATTATCATTCCACATTAGCCATTTAGGGAAATCTCCACCAGATGCATCTTCGACTTTTAAGTCTCGCAAATTTACATCGAAATAATAATGAAATGGTTGCCCAACCGATATTTTTATTAAGCCCGGTGTTCTTAATGACAATGCTGCACTCATTACTTTTATTATTACTATTAAAAATAAAGATTTCATCTGAAAATTTAATTTAAAATTGACAAAAAATAATTTGAAAAATAAGATAAATTTCAAAGTGAACTTAAATAAATCTATTAAAAAGGAATGTAATTTGAGAATGAAAACTACTTTTGCGAAGTCGCGGTAAGATTAAATACGACAGAGGATAGTGGTTTCCCCTGTGGTTCTCACCATTTCACCGTTTGGCTAACCCCATTGGCAATTAGGGTGGCATATTTTCGCCGAAGAATCACACAAAGAGTAAAAATGAAGATGGGTGACCGCCACGATTCGATTTTTAATGCCCAGGCTCGCTCCTGCGAAGAGGGACCGAAAATGAGCGACAGCTTTAGCAAAATGAAGCCACTCGGCTTCATTGCTCGTGAAAATGAATAAAACTGCAAAAGGAAAAAAGAAGACTTTGGGTTGGTTTCATTGCACAAACAGACAAATTATAATAAAAGTAAAAAAGGAAGACAGTTCGTTGATAAATTGGGCAATAAGCAAATATTTATAAATTGTGTAATAAGTAAGCGAAGAGAAATAAAAGAATAGACAAATAAATCCAACATAGTTCGCCAAATAATCCAAAAACTGCATTTCTACGCACCCCAAATCGACTATTTTTGATTTTTTGCTGTTCTATAGCCCACACTGTGCTTGAAAAATCAAAAATTTCTAAGTTTGATGAATTTGCGAATTTTTAATAAAATTAGTGAGCAATTCAAAGTTCCTAAAATATACTACCGAGAATTACTTTGTTACTGTTCTTCATCACCATTTTACTTTATTAGCCACAAAATTGAGAAAACTTCGTCAAAGTTGTTTGTCGAAAAGAATACAAAAGGTGCAATCAACACCACAGGAATATTTACGGACTTTAACTGACTGGAAATTCCTAAAAGGAAGGCATCGAATAAACTGCATCGCCTTCAATCGATGCAATACACTAGACTTCCAGATATTCGCAGTCCTTTCGCAAAATTCGCCGTAATAAAAATGGTGATTTATTTCCATGCAAAAATAGCACTCTTACTACTCATAATAATCGGAATTTTTGTTTGCTTGGGATGAAATTATTATCTAAAAAATTTCACCATAGAGATGAAAAATAATTTCAAAAATTATTATTGTTAATATTATTGCGGTTGAAGATTTTATCGGCAGCATCGATAAGCACTGAGTGGGCACGATGGCCAAGCAGTTCATTGTTTCAGCTGAGCATGACGGGTTCGACCTCTGACCTCCGCGCAAACGTTATCAAATGAATTTGCGATAGGTATATTTGTGCTAAAGGATGACTACTATTTAAATAAAATTTATTATTAAATCAATTTTTCTTTGATTTAATTATTATACTATTTATTCGTTTTATTTATATATTTGCTGTTATTTTTAGAGCAAAAATTTTCATGTTTACTTATTTTTTCAGACAAATAAATCCTTTGAATCAATTTATTCATAAACTTACAAGTTAATTAATAAATATTATTATATTACAAATGCAATAATAAAAAAATTAACAATTACTATTTAAAATTAAAATAACGAAATTTGAAACTAAAATTCTGAAATTTTACTACCAAAATTGTATATTAAATGTTTTTTTCGAGAAAATTCACCATTACTGGTCAGATTCGTTCCGCTGGTTCATCGCAGACCAGAAAAACTTTCCTGGGGAGTCACCTGGCAATAGAAGTATAACTAAATCGCCGCTATAACCCGCAATTTTAAAGCAATTAAACGGTAATTAAGCCAAAAAATGGCTCTTTCAGGATTTAAATTAAATTATAAAAACCATTATTTAAAAAATTATGAAAAACAATCAAAAAAAAATAACCACAATGCGCCGCGTATTTGTCACGTAAAACAATAACAAATTAATTAAGAAAATTTTAAAAATCAAATTAAACCGAAACATCGACCCTATTCAACTTTGTTTAAAAAATTCACCGAAGAACAGTTCGGCACTTTCCTAGACGAAAATACGAGACAATTGAGTATTTTACATGAGGATTAGATGAATGGCGATGAGAATGGAATGAGATGGAATGTTGCGTAATCCTGGGAAGAAGGAATTGGGGTTCGAATCGCATAATTTCCTCAAAAGAGAGGTCGAATAAGAAAGGATTAAAAGATTTAAAGAGAAGAATCCATTTGTACGACGGCGATTAAACGATGCATATCGCTGGCTGAGAGGCGTTAATAACGGGGAAATTTGAGAGATGGTAATTACGAACGAGGCCGCCCAGAACACCTGCGTCGTTTAGCGTTGCCTTATTCCACGAGATAATACGGACGTGAGAGATTTTATCGAAACGTGCGGATCTTCGTCTATTAACTGCACCATTAAGGCGCCATTCCATTGAGGTCTCCTAAAGAAAGATCAATCAAATATAAAGCACCCTTCTCGCAAAATCGTGAAACTTCAATCTATTTATTTGACAACACCATCAAATTCCCTTGGCTTCCGCAGTTACTCCAACTTGCTCCACTGCTCTGCTTTCATTGCACCTCAAATTTCGTGGTGTCGCCTAACCACATCATTGGAACCTCTTAGCATCCCCTAACGTCTATTCTATATAGCACCGAGAATATATCAGAGTGCAAAGACAGTTCCATCCTTCCGTAGGATCTTCCTTGTCCACCTTCGATCTTCGGACGAGAGTTTTATATACGGTGCGCTATGCTGGCGAATTACCTGTATTTCTGTCGCCAAAAGGAAAATTTACAACTTAACCCTGCAAAGTTGAGGGGATGGTAAGAAAAGAGAAGAATCTGGAGTGGCGATAGGTGCTTCGATCTCCATTTTAAGAAGCCTTCGCAGACTTTAGCCTTTTTAGATTTGGCTTCGTCGCTCCACTATAAGTCTTATTTTTTAAGTCCATGTTCGCCAGCGAAATAATTTTTGTGTGGATGGGTTCACGTTCAACAGTCGAAACATTAACACCATTTCCAAATTTTTGTAGAACGAATGAAAATGGCACGGTGAATATGCGAGTCGACGATGCGATTGCTGAACTCAGTTTCTCCGTTCTGGCTTTCCTTTTCTTCAAGGCGCAATGTTCAAATTGGCCTCGTTTTTAATCATTTTTAAAGTAAATTGCCGCTAATTGCCGCCAAACGATGGAACTCGTACGGTCACCTCCCAGTTTACAATCGCCTTCGATTTTTTCATTTCGTTCTTTATTTTTCGTTTTATTTTTAATCGCTCACTTTCGTTTTTTGCAATAAAATACAATGTTATGTATTGCTCGCCACTTCGTTTGGATTATTTTTCTTTGCTGGTTTTTTAATAAAATGTTTAATTACAAGTTTGAGGTTTGTTTTGCATTGTCGCATATTTCTTACACGCAATTTATAAGCCAAGGCGACTGTCGCTGTGAGCGGAGATACAGTCCGAGTGGCAGATAGTCTCGCGAGGAAAGCCAGCCTGCTGGCGTAGCGACTCACCTCAATTCCACCCACTAAACTTATTCTGAACTATTTAGACTTGCTCTGCACTTTTTATAGGACTAAACGCTGACTTTCGCACACTCCGACCGACTGTTTTCAAGCCATACATTATTAACAACACCGCAAGCAAAGACGAAGGACAGAGCGCGCTGGAAGCGAGGAAGGGAAGAGAAATGCGCCCCACCTTCCTCCGCTATAATCGAGAACTGCCTCGAGGTGTCCCTTCCCGTCCCATCTCTTCGTCACCGCTTACCTACACCACTTTTTTACCACTCGTAGATTATCGATTCGAATCGAAAACAAACAATTAGGAAATCATAAAAGGCAAAAATCCGAGCGGTACGAATTATTCACAAATAATTCATTATTGACCGACTCTTCCCATCCCAAAATTGGGTTTTTTTATTTAGATGCGAGAAGGTTCGCGCAAAGGGTGGTCATCTTGGCGCAGATTTATGCGAGTAATTGAGTAAAACAGTGTGGGGAGGCGATATTGAGTTGTGTTATTTATTAATTCCTTTTAAATATTGTTTATAAATATATAATAAAATAATAAAAATTATCATTGAGAAATTTCATTAGTTTCGTTTTTTAAGTTTTTTTCTTTTTTCAGCGAAAAAAAAGTTGAAAATGTACGATTTTTGATAAAAATCGTCAGCTGTCTTATCATTTAAAATGTAATATTTGATTCTTAACGAATTGTTATTAGTCGTAAATATCTTCGTGATGAGTTGGCTATTATGAAATTCGATGTCGTACATTGTAGCTTTTATTCTTTGGTAGATAATCAGTCTTTCATTTGTGATTTTGGTGAAATAATGAAAGAAAAGCGCTTTCGAGCAGGTGTTGTTGGCGATTACTTATTTAGTGATTGTCTTAAGTTAAAGTTAAAAAGGCATCCTAACATGTGGTACCAGGGTAAGGACCTCGTCCTAGTAGTTTATAGAACCAAATTAAGGCTCCCTTCTTAATAGGTAGTGGTACCAGGGTTAGGTTCTGATTGTATTAGTTAGTGGAACTAGAGTAAAGAACTCATTATGATAGTTCAACCAAGGCAGAATTGATGTGGTCCATTAGATGAAGACAAATGAAGCTTTTCTTATATTACTAAAAATGGGTGAAAATGTTTTTTTCACCCATTTTTATTTTTCGTTTATTCCATCATTTGTTGTCGTTAAATGTTTTGTTAACATCTTAATTCTTTTTTCTTTCTTGATCTCGTTTTAGTTTTTTCACCCATCACAGTACTGTATTTATTGTGAAAGCGTCAACAAAGGAGGGGATCTTCCTTTCCTATTTCATCTACAGTTTTCTCTCAGTATTTAATACCTTCCCTCGAGACAGTTTATTATCAATAGCTCTTTGATATCGTTATACCACCCTACCAGTATTCTGTAGTCATTTTTTATGTCTGTTGTAATATTTTAATCCTTTCGCTTATTTATTGGCTTTCTGCATTCTCTTTACCAGATAATTTAGAGTCGATATATGGTTAGACTATTCGAAAAATACGCAGTCGAATGGTTATATAATTATAATTATTTTTCATGCAGTTATCATTTTTTATCAGTAATTTAGTTTTAGTGTAATAAAAAATGTTGGAACCGAATGATTACGAAAAGTTGAATACGAATAGTGCGATGGTTCACACGATAGCGGGTGCATTTGCGGGATTAACTGAGCATTGTGTCATGTATCCATTTGACTCTGTTAAAACGAGATTGCAAAGCTTATGTCCTTGTCCAGAAACAAAATGTCCGTCAGTAATTCATGGTTTAGCATCAATAATGAAACGTGAAGAATGTTGGAACCGAATGATTACGAAAAGTTGAATACGAATAGTGCGATGGTTCACACGATAGCGGGTGCATTTGCGGGATTAACTGAGCATTGTGTCATGTATCCATTTGACTCTGTTAAAACGAGATTGCAAAGCTTATGTCCTTGTCCAGAAACAAAATGTCCGTCAGTAATTCATGGTTTAGCATCAATAATGAAACGTGAAGGTTGGTGGCGACCTCTGCGAGGAGTTACTGCCGTGGCTTGGGGTTCAGTTCCAGCTCATGCCGCATATTTTGCCACTTACGAAAAGTCAGTCCTATCCTAAAATATTTTTTTGTCTTTAATTTTTCTTGGCTTTTTTTCCATTATTTATTTATTACAGTTATTGCAGTTATTTCAGATTTTAGATCAGTTTCAGATCAAAAAAGCTTTTTTTATCGTCAAATAAAGTCTGTAACACGGCTGCATATGGTTTCTCGGGTGTGTTAGCAACAATTGTGCATGATGCATTTATGAATCCATTTGAGGTTCAATTTATAACTTGATTTCACTGAGGGTTTTATAAAAATTAGATTTTATAAAAATTAGACAGTAAATAGAAGGCAGTATTGTTTGATCACTCTTTTTCCCTATCTTTTTTTTTGAAAAGTTTCTTTTTCGCTTAAATGAATATTAATTTAAATTTAAATTTAATTTAATTTAATTTGAATCTAAACAATAACAACAATATAAATAACAGTATGTAGGACCATAATTTTATACTTAATATTTATCTGAATTATGCTGTTATGGAAGAATAAGAATTTCAAGTAAAGGCTCCATATTTGGTGAAATATTTTTTTTCACCTTGATAACACTATATAGGTGCAAATAGTTTAATGATTAATGATTGCAAAGGGTGAATCAACAGGGGAGATTTTTTTCCCTTATTTAAATAAACATAAATAAACAGTTTCATGTCGATCAGTAAATTTATTCTTTCTAACCTTTCAATATTTTAATTTTGGGTGGTGAAACAACGAATGCAAATGATGTATAGTCCATATGGAAACAGTTTGGAATGTATTCGGTGTATTTACCGGATCGAAGGATTTAAAGCTTTTTATCGGTCTTATGCTGTTCAGTTATTGATGAATGTACCATTTCATACAGTGCATTTTGTGACGTACGATTCATTGCAGCAATTTTTTAATCCAAATCATCACTACAACCCGATTTCACATATGATTTCTGGAGGTTATTAAACTTTTTTACATCGTATATGTGCAGATGAATCTTTCTTAGTTTGAAAGCAAGGAAAATAAAGAAAGGAAGATCAAAAATCAAAAAGTATAAAAATACAAAGTTTTTCAAATTCGAAAAATGAAAAAAATATTTTTCTCCCTTTTCATATTGCTTTAATTTCTTAATTTTATATAAGTGCATTTTTTAATGATTCAATTATTTTAAAATATTATGAACTAATTTTAAGTTTATCAATTTTAAATTCTTTTAAGGAATAGCTGGCGGACTAGCAGCTGCTTTGACCACTCCTCTTGATTGTATTAAAACAGTACTTAATACGCAGCAATCTCCAGAAATATTATGTGATCATAGGTTGTTGTTGAAAAATACTCCAGAAACATGTGGGTGAGTGACAAGTTTTTGTTATTTTATCTTAATTAGGTAAGTAATTTGATTCATTAATAGATAAAAAATACAACCAATATTTCGATCAGGCTTTCATTTAATTTTGGTAAATTGTTACGGTAAATTACTAGATCCAGTCAATTTTAATTTGTTTAAATTATTATCTCTTAAGTTTTTCTAAATGTTTGTATGACTTACTGGGCTAAGATTTCATAAATAGTAATTTTTAATACGAAAAGTTTTATGTGCAGTATGTATTTTGCCTCTTTAACTGTCATTTTTATTTTAGAGGTATCATGAATAGCATAAAACTGATAGGCAAAATGCGAGGTACAACTGGTTTTTTCCGTGGATTACAAGCCAGAGTGGTATTTCAGATTCCTTCAACAGCATTAAGTTGGTCTATATATGAACTGTTTAAATATCTACTTTTATTAAATGGAGTCGAACATAATAATTTAATTGTTCAAAATTAATTTATTATTTCCAAATGATATTTTTTCGTACAGCTTTTTTTTGATTTCGTGTTTCGCCCTAATATTTTTAATTTTTTGGAATTTTTCGTAATTTTCCATGTCTCTTCATAGTATCTCATTTATTTTTTATTTTATGGTGTATTAAATTATTTTTTTATGATAATGCGAGTATTTGCTCATCAAAAATTTTTTAGAATCAAAGATTTTTAAAATTTCAAATTTTTTTTGATAATTTGTTTAGTGATTTATTTTTTATCAGAAACTATTCAGCTATTATGCCTTCTGTGTCATATTTTATATATTTTAATAAATCGCAAATCGTGAATCAGTTGCACTTACCCATAATTTCTTTATTCCTGGCTATTTTTCTTTGAAATTCCGTTCTTTTTTCTTTTCCTCTGAAATTTAAATTTAATTGAAATTCTTACTGGAATTCATTTCAGTTGTTTGCTACTATTAATTTGTTTGCGAGTTTTGCTTTTAGCCCAATTCTTTATGTTTTATTTATTGGCAATTTTGTTAAAAGGGTTTTTATAATATTTTACGCAATTAGGAGTTGAGTTTTATTATATTGGTTGAATATTTTAAAAAAAGTGAAGCAGAAATTATGTTGAAATTATTCCACTTAGTGTTGATGTTTCTTTAACTTTCTGCTTTCTGTGATTACAGGTCATATCTGTTTTTATTTATAATAGGAAATAAAATTTATGTGTTATGAAGAAATAATTTGTTGTGGATCTCAACCATTATTGGAAAGATATTTCTTGAAGGTTTCTCCATTATACTGTGAAGGACATCAATGATTAGACCAGATGTAGTGGCTGTAAGATTGAAATGTTCGCGATTTTTCCAGTCTAATGTTGTTAAAGTCGTTGCCCTTTCGTTCACCTAAAATTCCAATATTAAGATTAAAATCTTAAAAATCTGTCCAGCGTTGATTTTCGTCTAGATTGAAAGAGTCGACGTTTATCTCTAGAATGTGCTTGTTGTCTATTTTTGTTATGAATGATAAATGGTGGATGTAACTGGCAAGTAACGGATATCTATCGATAATATATGAATGGAAGTATATGCAGTCTATGCAAGAATGTGAGGTTTTACCTGTAATATCGGGCAGATATACTGTCAACGGTCATATTTTTTTTCAAGGATATAAACTGTTCTGAACATGCCAGCCGCGAAATTCCGTCTTATCGATGTCGATATTGCTCTGATTCCACAAAGATTTTGCTGGACGAAAGAAAACGGTTTTTACCGTAGGTTTATGAGTTTGATTGCTTTGACATTCGGTAAGAGAATGAATCCAAGATATTTTTAAGATATCGGTTCTTTTTTAACTTGTGATATATTTACTAATATAGGTACTGTACCAGCAATTTCTCAGTATTAGGACGAAAGGAGTTATGTTGCGGCATACATAATCTAGGCGTTCGATGGAATTTTCGATGCTCGGAAAACGGATTACGTGGTCAGCATATTCGAAGTTCTATGAACTATATTGATTTCCGAACTGGTGGGTCTTTTAGCTGGGTCTTAGATGGGAAGTGGACTCTGACGTTTGCCACATGTGATTTAGGATGAATATATCAGAATCTTCATGCATACAGAATTGCCAATATGCACATTTAAGGTGCATACGCCTTAGTACTTTGAACATCATTTCTTTATGATGCATGGTATTCCATGACCATTGCAATTCTTTTTATTATAGTCGAAGGCGAAAGATATAAATTGAAGTGATGTTAGCATTTTTTCGCTAGCATTTTTAACGAATATTTGCTTATCCTCGCCTTAGAACGCATCTTGCAGTCGCTTATTGTTGCCGTAAGTCATTTCAAAATGAGGCGATAAGTCCAATGGTTTAATTTTTTAATGTAGTTGTAAATATCATATTTCTTGGCCTGTTTTTTGCTTTAATTCCTTCTTACAGCATGGCACATGATGATTTCATATCAAAGACCATCTTTTCTAGGAATTTCAGCTGCATTCGATTTCTGAATAGTGGAGGATATTTAATACTCTTTTCAGCTTATAGTCATATGTTTAATTTGGCTGTCATCGTTTTAAAGAGTGCTATCAATAGGAAAAGTGGTTTTTTGAGAATCCAAGATTATTTCACATTTTTGACGTTATGTCTTAAAGGCAAAATAATTTTCAATCATAAGCTACTGGGCCAGTTGTTTCATATTTAAAGTTACGTATCCTTGGCACTAGCAATATTTTATTGTAGTTGGACAGTTTTTTTCGTGAGACCCAATTTATTTATTTCCAATTGATATACATTAGCCTAGATGTCATCTGCCATTCTAAATTGATCGCTTATATTGAGATACAGATGTCCCAATAATTCGCTTGGAATGCGTACCGTTCCTGAATCTTTAGGTATTAGAAGGATTTGAAGACCGTCATTTTTGGCATTTTCTGGGTTTATTGGCTATAAACACATAAAATAATAATTCGTGAAGATTGCCAGATTTGGCACCAGGATTAGAATGATCATCTAGTACGAAGTATTCCAGTGGTCGAATGTCGTCATTCTGTAGTCAAAGCTGCTTATCTTAGGGGTGTTCGTATAACAAAATATCTTTTCCGATTCTGAAAGTATCTTTTGGTAACAAAAAATCCTTGTACCATGCGGAGTGAAGGAGGTTCTCTCCATTGCCCATATTTGTTAAGTACCTGTCATAATTTAACATATGCCTTCGATTATGCCACTTAACATATGCCACTTTTTATAATTTAGGATTTAAATAAAGTTCCACATAGAATCTTTATCAAGATTATGTTTGAAAATAGGGGTATACATATTGACCGACGTATCAATATTCTCTTTCGAAACTCCTTTAAAGTAAACGTATTCTATCCGGTTGTTGTTAAAAAATTTTTGCATGACTAGCTAGCTATCGCAAAATTTTTGCAAGTAAATCATATGTGAAACCGGGTTGTAGTTATGATCGTGATTATTAACAATTTGTTGCAATGAATTGCAATCGTACGTCACATAGTGCAGCGTTGAAAAAATTATCAGATGTGGCCTTCATAAGATTTTGCAAATTTCTAAGCAAATTAACAGTAGAATTAACAGTAGAATTTTAGATATTTAAAATAATGTAATTCGTCAAATTCTATTAGATCGAAGATGGACCGAAATCTATGAGGATTTGGCCCATTTTAAGCTTATAAGTTATTGAAAAGAAGTATATAGGTATGCCATCAGATATTTTTTATATGTCCTATATGCTTTGGCTTAATGGTTTAATGGAATAGAACTGAATTTTTACCATCATAAATTTACCATCATAAATTTTAAGCATTTTGGAATTTCGTCAAACGACTATGGAAGATTCGACAAAGATGAATGAAAGCTTAATTGAAAATTGTTGTTGTCAAATGGATTTAAAAAGTTCGAAATTACGAATTGTGCCAAATTTTCCAGAGGATTTCGAAAAGGTCGCCGAAGGTCAACCGGTTAGTATGAGCTGTTTATAGAAAAATTAGATGAAGACTGTATGAAAGTTCATGTGTGATTTTTTTAATAAAAATATGATAACTCATTAGAAGTTTCTTACCACATTTTGTTGACTCGATTTAGAAAGTCTTGCGAGCTTTCTTACTTATTGCACCAGATGCAGTATCATCGGAATGAAATTTACATTTCAAACATTTAATTCAAACATCTGGTTTAGATGAAATCTTTTAATCATTTGGAAGTGGTTTTATTTCCTCATAGGTCAAGTTAATTATATAATAAAGTTAGAATCCTATTCAAATTATTCTGTTTTGAATTATTCAAGATTGAACATAAGTTTGGCATTGTTATACGTTACGAACGTTACTGTGAATTAATCGAAAAATCTCTCCAATCTTTACTAATATTAACTAATATTTGTAGTTATCTGCATTTTGTCCACTTTCCATTTTACAAAATTATTTATTATTTCTCTTATATTGTTTCCTCTTATCTTTTTTATGGTTAGTTTTATGATGACACGAAATAAATTTGAAAAAAGTTAAGTAAAGAAAATTTTATTCTAAAATATTTTCAAAATTTAAGTGTACGATACGTGGTCTTTTTGGATATGAACGAGAAAGAAATTTCGACGACCTTCCATCCACTGGTTTATTTTTATGGAATATTAAGTTCTGTTTGTATTTAGGATAATTTAGGATATATCTAGGATATATATTAAGCAATAATTCTTACATTAAGATTAAGATATTTTAATTTAATACTGCAAGCTTTTTTATTAAGTTTTTTAGAATAAATTCAATTTTTTATTTTTATCAATGTTACTGCGAGAAAAACTGAATTAAAAATGCAATGCAAAACTTATCTCCTCATTAATTTATATTAACCAATCCATGGTATTAATGAGAAATTTTAATATTTTATTATTTTATTAGAGTTATAATTCGTAAAATTATATATATTGCATTTTTTAAAATAATTATTAACAATTAATTCGATTATTTATTTCAGTTCAACGATTAGTGTTTCCATTTACACCACAGTTTTATCCAGCAGGAGATGATTTGGAGGAATTTGATAAGGCGATGAAAGAAGCTGAAGTACTATAAGATTTTACTCAGAATTGCTCTGAAAAAAGTTTATGTTTCAAACGAAAAATTCATAATTTCATAATATAAAATGATTTAAAATGATGTTTCCAAGCTTTTTGTGATATTTTATAAAAATTTAGGTCTATCTTGTTGGAACAGCCCATTTTTCGTCAAAAAGCCAGGAAGATGTCTTGAAAACTATTACCAGTGTTCAGCCTGATGTTGTAGCTGTAGAACTTTGTGAATCTCGTATGTTGATATTATCGATGGATGAAGAGAAAGCACTAGAGGAAAGTAGAAATATGGATTTCAAGAAGATTCTTCATTATATGAAAGACGTTAGTATACAAATTTATGAAATTTAAAAAAAGATTATTTTTCCTTTGTTTTGCTATTTTTCTATAAAATAAAAAACAGTTCTTTAAATTTTAAAAATAGCAAAGATGAAAAATATAAAATATAAAGAATGATTTTTCAAATATATATGTATATATATAGTATATATGTATATTCTAATTTTTTTAAAATAAAAGTATCGGGAAAGCGTAATTATTATATAGGTTGGAACTATACAAGGTATAATCCAAGTTGCGATGATTTCATTATCAGCTCATATTACTCGAAAACTTGGTATGGCTCCTGGAGGCGAATTTCGAGCCGCTTATGCGTAAGCATCATTAAAAAAATATTCACTTTTTTATCATCACATTTCATCACAAAATAATATGAAAATTTTTTCCACGAATATCTTTTACATAATTTTGATAAAATAGAACGATTCTTTTTTGCCCGATTAATAATTTGTTTGTGTATATACTCTAAAATGCTTTCTTCAGTGCCTGTAAAACTGTTCCTGCATGCCGTTTTGTTCTATGTGATCGGCCTATCCAGATTACGTTGAATCGTGCCGTAGCATCATTATCTATATTTCAAAAAATGCGTCTATTCGTGCAATTACTTCGATCGAGCAGAGCCGATATAACGTTTATTTTATTTTATTAATTTTCGAATTCGATGAAATCTATTATCTATTTGGTCATTCCGTTCTTAATTTTGGTAGCTGATGCATTTCTTAATCATTCATTCCACTGAATTTTATTATAGAGCAGAAGAAGTAGAAAAAGCCAAAGAAGGCGATGTGCTTGATAAAATGTTGAAAGAAATGTCAGAACAATTTCCTACGCTAGCAAAGACCTTAATTGAAGAACGTGATCTTTTTATCGCTGGAACATTAAGATCATTACTTGCCAGATTAACTTATGATAAGCGTTTGACCATGATCAACAATCCAGATGGTCCGATTTTTTTTGAATTGAATTTTTTTCTGATTCGAATTCGATGAAATCTAACTATTATATATTAACTATTTCTGATTCGTTTCATGGATTTTCTATAATTTTTTTTAAAATTTATTCCAGATTCTCATTTTTGTTTTTTTTTCAGTTAAATGGCAAAAGGTTGTTGTTGTTGCTGTTTTGGGTATGGGTCATATTCCTGGTATTGTTGCTAATTGGGAAAAGGATATCAATATTCGTCCACTTTACGAGTAAGCTTTCTTTTATTTTTTTCTTTACTAATGAAAACAACTCTTCTCACCAACTGAATTACTTTCATATCCCTTTATCTCAAAATTCAAAAAATTTCCTTAACCGTTTCCTTAACCCTTCTTGGAGTTCGTGTATTATTTTTATATCATAGTTTTTAGTTAATAATAATTCAATTTTAATTCGCTCTGTACTCCTTCGATATTCCAATTTATCGTGCTGTCCTTTGTCCTATCCCTTCTGTCATGATGTCCTTTCCAATTTTATAATTTATAGCTGTGGTCTTGGCAAAAGTAAGATTTGATGGTGGACAGAGAGAGTATTGGAGGTAGAGCTGCAACTGGGTCTGAGGAAATTAAAGTATCAAAAAGTAATTCGAAAAAGTCAATAATAAATTGTGCAAATATGGCATCGCCTTAATATATAGGCTGAGAAAGGTAATACAACATATAGTGCAGGGTAACAAAAAGGCATAGCAAGATTTGACAGTATGTTCCTGGATCCAGAGGTGTTTACTCACTATGGCGGGTTTTAGAGAGATCTTAATATCGAGATCTGGCAAAAAAATAGGACTAGATTTAATGGAATATTGGGATGATTTCAAAGTTTTGGAGATGTCGATGAGGATTGTAATAGGGTCTGAGGAAGTTTTCGAAGAAGCGTAATGGTATCTTGGCAGATTAAGATTATATGAGCAATATTCGGTTCAAGATAATGTAACTAATGGAATATAGCAAGAGGATACAACGAGGTTTGGAACATTAACGTACTATAATGGGATTTCGAAAAAGATTTAGCGGGCTCAACAGATTCCTGCGAAGTGATTTGAGAGATACTTTGGAATCTAAGAGGTTTGCTAATGGGCTAAAGCAAAAAAACCGGATGGATGGAATGTTAAAATGAAGTAAAAGGATTTGGAAAGTGGGTAACAGGGTAGGCACCGGGGATCGGGAATAATTTTCACAAAATATGACAAGCTTTGAAGCATATGAATGAGTTTTTACGCACACATAGGGATTAAAATTATATAAAAATATTATAAAAAATTGAAGTGGAAAAAGCAGATTTTGTTTGTATGGCAATATGTTTATATGCAAATATCAAAAAAGGAAAATAAATTTGACGATTGGCTGAATTCATTTCTCATGATCTTTTTGAACTTTTAAATAAAATAGAATTTTTTTCTTTGTTATAATATATAGTATATAATATAGTATATATAGAATAATATAAAATGTAATATAGAATATAACTTATTCGATTTCAGAATGATCCATCGTCCGCCGTCTCGCTCTTGGAGAATGATTCGTTTTGCTTTTCGTACTTTCCTGTTTGGTTTTTCTTGTTATTTGGGTTATAATATCATATCAAAAATTTCATCAAAAATCGGATGATTTCAAATTTGACTTTGGTTGAACAGTAATTTATGAAATGGTTTTAATGATAGATTTGACTAATTATGTTTGAAAAGAATCTTCCGTGGATTTCCAATTGGTTTTATTTCCCAGTAATGAATGCAGTTCATTATTATTTATATGAGTAATTTTTCTTAATTTTTAGTGCCTTTTATTCTTTATTCAACGAGATGAAATTTATGTCTTATTCTAGAAAAATTACGAATCGTTGCTGAAAAATTATCGCTAATGATTTAAATAAATTGTAAAATTTTGTCTATTTGCAAAGTTTAATTTTTATCTATTTGTCTCATTTTTCATTTTTTGTCTTTTATTTATTGTCTTTATAGGTTGTTTCGAATTAATGTTTTTATCGTGGTAATTTCTTTTCTACTCTTTTTTTAGTAGTTTTTCTTTACTTATCTATATGAATATTTTTAAATTATAAAAAAATCCGAATTTTTAGATTAGAATTTTTAGTTTTTTTTTAGGGACACAATTATAAAAAGCCTTTTGTCATTATCGGCTATGGTTTTGATTTTGACTTGTTTTTGATTTTGATTTGTCTTTTTTTTATTTCGCGGTTTGTTTTCTGTGATTTTTATAATTTTCTTTTATAATTTTCGGTGATTCTTGTAAGTTTTTTCTTTCTTAAATTTTTTTAATGGTTTTAATTATTTAATTAATGCAAATTTTTTGTGTGGAGAATTTTCATCAATTTTTCTATCGGAATTTTTATTTTTTAATTTTTAAGGTATCTTTTAAAGCAGTTATTCTTCGCGAAATGTTATTATTTGATAATTCAATTTGATAATTCAAATTTATTTTGGAATTCTTTTGCTGTGAAAACATGGAATATTTTGGGAAAATCAGTCTTTATCATTTGATTTGATTTGAATTAGTGATTTCGAACGTGGAATTTAAAGACTGTAGTAGTCAATGAAATGATTTTATGAGAACTAATATTAATTTGCTATTTTTGTTTCAGTGGCCACAAGTGAGTTTAGGTGAAAATTTTTTCCTGTAGTTTACTTATGACATTGGGTCACTGAGTTATTGAGGTTTGAAGAAAAGTGGAGAGAAGGAATAAATTTGCGAAGTTTTCCATGAATAACTTTTTTGAGCTTTATCAACTTATCAATATAGTAATGTATCGTCATCTTCTTATAGAAATGGGTTGCATAATTCGTTAACTGACAATCATAAATTTCATGAATAGCTGTCATTTAATGATGGACTGTGACGCCGAGAAGGAGGTGCGAGAGAGATGAAATTATTGGTGAGGAAATACGATCCTATCAAGAAGGAAAGGCATGAGATGGAGATTGAAAAAAAAAGATCTAAGGTGTTGGTAGATTTCAAGCATCCTTCAGCACGGACGAAGGGATCGCTATTATTACTATTATGCAGATGTCAGGGGAAATTTTCGCTTACGAATTAGAAATTAGACGTTCATTGAGACTCAATGGGATTATGAAGAATGACACTTGAAATCAGCTCGAAACAGCTTGAGCAATGGCTATCAAGTGCGGCTATACCACGGCGTCGCCTCTATTGTTCTGCACAGGTCTAAAACACATTTTTGAAAAGATAACTCAAAATTTTTGAAAAAGAAGCAAGTAAAGGAAAATATGGCGAATCCTTTTATCAGTTTCATTAAAGAGTTTTTTATTGAAAAATTGGACCTAAAATTCTGAATCATACATTGATGAAAAGAAAGCGAAAGCATTTATCATTTGCCATTTTCAAAGTTATTAAAGAAATGGTTATGAATTTTACTTTTTGGCTTTTATCAGCAGCGATCCTTATCAGTCGTTTTGATAAATAAAAGGACATAAATGAAAATTGTTTTCTCTGTTCTTTGTTTTTTTTTTCAAATTTCAGCTTAAATGCTCATCTGATAAATTATTGAGGCTTATTAGAACATTATTATTATTATTATATATATATTATTATATATATTAAATATATATATATATATCTTTGACTGAAACTTAGAAAGCGAAAATTTAAAATATTTTTTAAAAAAATGGTAAAAAATCGTTCATCAGATGTCAGTTGTCTCGTGGTTCCTTAACGAATTTTATTTCTCGAATGCCCTCAAATGACTTCTCGTAAATCCATTTGTAGTTCTTGCATAACAAAGGAAAATCCATTTTAGAAATAAATTTACGTTAAAAATATCCGAAAGGACAATTCGTAATACTCGAAATGCCACTATGACGACTGAACATTCGTCTATAACTAATAGTTTTGATAAGCAATAAGTTCTCCAGTGTTTTTTATCGAAAATTTTCTAATTATGAAATTTGTCGATGACTTAAATAGTTTTTATGTTAAGTATTTGATTATTAGATTGTGTAAGTTGTTTTTACAAATTTGCTGGAAGCATCAATATTTGCTAGGATGACGGACGAAAAAGGGAAAAGAAAGTTTTGTATGAAATGTTTCATTTGACATTTGACTTAAAATTGATATTTGTGCCTTTCTTGCACTATACACTATATATGTGGTTAGCACCCACCAATTCTGGTGAGATTAGTTCCACTGGGTTTCAATACGACTAGGAATTTGCGGGTAGTCACTGCTGATAGGATTACAGGTTCACTCAGTTTACTCTTGCTAGAGTCAAGAAATGGAATTTCAGATGCAAGTTCTGCTTTATGCTCTATGAGCAACTATGCATCGGATTTTGAATCACGCAGATGGCAGAGTAGTTGTTTGCCTGTTCAGCTCTTCTGGTTAATACTAAGCGAAGCGAATTATTTTAACTCCACTAACTAGTTATCCTCGTTTGTCAATCAGGAATGTGACAGTCGCAATTTTTGCCACTCAGTTCTTCAAAAAAGGCTGATTCGATATCAAATCGCATAATTGTAATTGCAAACAAATTTGACATTTTTTTTTCATATTCACAAGTTTCCAACGGACCTAACACTAAGCAAAACATTCCTCGTATAAATTTTTGGAAACACCTTGATTTTCGTAAGTCTAATTATTTAGTGAATTCCAGAAAATTTTGCGGCACTTAACAGGAATATTGATAGTTTCTATCCACTGGGAACTCTCGCAGACCGCTCCGTTTAATTTCAGTGAACAGATGAAATGAGAGGCGATCGAAGCACTCTTGCGACAGCGCTCGTGTTTTCCCTGAAAAGCAGATTTTTAGCACAAAGCAGCATTTTACTTGTCAATCAAACCTCCATCTTTGCAACACTATCTTTTCTTACATGAAAAGACCCGCAATTTGCATCACCTTCTCCGCTTTTATTGACCGAACCTGAGGCCTTTGACCTTTCTGCCTAGCAATGGCCCTAATAAGTCACTCCCCGCTTAACTGTTCCAGCCAGTTCAGCCAGATGCGTTATCTGCATCACCGCAGTTCAGCTGTCGTTGCCTTTTCGAAGTAAATATTAACACCATAAGCAAAGTCATAACACTCTTTATATTGCCAAAGTTTATTTCATTATAGATCACCGAATTTTTTTTCATTACTTTAATAATAAAGTTGAATTGCGCGTAGGGTTTTACGACCAATTTTTATCGACAACGCTCTTTTAAATCGTTTAAGTAATATCGCAAATCGTCGAGAATTTGGCATTCGGAATTGTC